TTTTTAGTTCTATGGAACGAGTTCGAGAGGGTTTGGGCGACAAGTTGGGACTAATGGTGCAGTTTACGGCGCAGGTAAGCTAGCTGGTTTGGGTTTTTTCGCCGGCTCAGTCGTTTTCTAAAATAAACTTTAAAAAATAGTTTTTAAAAAAAGTTTTTAGTTCTTCGGTGGGCTTACAGTTGCCCTGACGTACGACTGGAAGCTGACGTTAATCATGATGTCTCTCTCGCCAGTTCTGATCATTTGCGGTGGTTTTATGGCTCGGGTAAGCTTACTTTTTAGTTATACTTTTCGATACCTTGAAAGTGACCTAAAAGAACTGGTTGATATCTCTTGAACATTTCAGCTAATGGCTTCTGCAACAGCCGCCGAGATGAAAAAGTACGCGGTGGCTGGCCAAATTGCCGAAGAAGTCCTAACCTCGATCCGGACGGTATTCGCCTTCAACGGCCAAGAAAAGGAATGCCAACGGTACGTTTATCTCTTTAAAAGCTAACCTTTTCTCAGATACGACAAGGCTCTGGAAGCCGGCAAGCTGGACGGGTACAAGAAATCGGTGTATATCGGCGCTGGACTGGCCTGCACCTTCGTAGTCATCTTCTCCTCATACTGTCTGGCCTTCTGGGTCGGCACCGATTATATCTACTGGGGAATGGCGACATCTTCTAAAGTATTAACGGTAAGTATTATTTAATAAATCCTCATTATCATTCATTCAGGTGTTCTTCTCGGTGATGATGGGCTCAATGGCCATGGGTCAAGCTGGTCAACAATTCGCCGTTTTTGGAGTGGCTCTTGGAGCTGCTGGAGTTGTTTTCCAAGTTATCGATCGGGTAAGCTGTGCTTTTTTCAAATAGATAACTTGACCATTTAGGAGCCAGAAATCGACTCCTATTCCGAAGATGGCCAAAAGCCGAAACAAATCCGCGGCGAGGTCCGCGTGGAAAATCTTCATTTCCGTTATCCATCCCGGAAAGATGTCCCAATTCTGAAGGTACGTTACTGTCCACTTTACGATTCTATGTTCCGCCTGTAACTACAGTATATTCTTCAATTATTTTAGGGAATCTCATTGACATGTGCCCCGGGTGAAACTGTGGCTTTGGTTGGATCATCTGGATGTGGAAAATCGACAATTGTTCAGCTTCTTCTTCGTTATTATAATCCAGATGAGGGAAAGGTACGTTTCTGAATTAATTTCTCAAAACTACAATATCTTTTATTCAGATTACAATTGACGGAATTCCAATTGAAGAGCTAAATATTGAATGGGTCCGTCGAGCAATTGGAGTTGTCAGCCAAGAACCCGTTCTTTTTAATACAACAATTCTCGAGGTATTTATATTTTAAAAGGTTATTTAAGGGAATGTTTCTTGTTTAGAATCTTCGTTATGGCAATCCAGATGCAACAGATGTCGAAATTCAAGCTGCTTTGAGAAAAGCGAATGCTCTGAATTTTATCAATGGATTTCCACAGGGATTGAATACTCTAGTCGGAGATCGAGGTGCACAAATGTCTGGAGGACAGAAACAACGTATTGCTATTGCTCGAGCTCTGTTACGGTAATTGGGACACCTTTTATGAAATGTTCTGTTTGAAGGGATCCTCGTATTCTTCTACTTGATGAGGCTACTTCTGCACTTGATGCTGAGAGTGAGAGTGTCGTACAGGCCGCCCTCGAAAATGTTGGTGTTACCATGTTATCGAAATGTCTTTTTTTAGGCTTCTGTCGGTCGCACGACACTTGTGATCGCGCATCGATTGTCAACGATTCGTAATGCCAACAAGATTATTGCGATGAAAGAAGGACAAGGTTAGTTACCACTTTCTAGGCTTATATATTATTCTTTTTAGTCGTCGAAGTCGGAACCCACGACGAGTTACTCGCGCTCAAGGGCTTCTACTACGACCTGGTCAACTCACAAGTATTCGCGGATGTCGAGCCGAAGAGTACGCTTATAGAGGACAGAAATCTGACCATATTCCTAGGCGGACGGCCAACTACTGGGCGCCAGACCTCCCGCCAGCTCTCCCGACAACTTTCCCAAAGCTCGACAGCCCGTCAAAGCGTGGTATGGGCCTAGCTCCAGATTCCTCACAACTTAGAATTCTAGGATTATGGCGATGATGTGATTGATGAGGCGGACAAGAAAAAGGAAAGCGATATCGAACGCCTGAAACGAGGTGTGTCTAAAGTTTGAAACGTATCGACCGTATTGTATTTAGAAGCCGTTGAAGAAGGGGCCCAAGAACAAAGTCTCTTCAAGATTCTGAAGTACGCAAAGAGCGGTAGGTGACCCAACTTTTGGCCGAATGTTTTTTTAGAATGGTGGCTGCTGGTGGTCGGCTCTGTCGCCTGCATCATCCAGGGCGTCGTGTTCCCGGTTTTCTCGCTGTTTTTCACCCAAATCATGCAGGTGAGGGCATTAATAAAAGCTTGTATTTCTGGACACTTTCTTATCCCGGTTGGACAGAAAACGACGTTGATTTTTCTAGGTATTTGCCGAGCCGGACCCCGAACAAATGCGACGGGACGGTCACAAATGGGCGCTGATGTTCCTTGTGCTGGCTGCCGTCCAAGGATCCACGATGCTCATCCAGGCAACCTTCTATGGAATTGCCGCTGAAAAGCTGACGATGCGGTTGCGTTCAAAGGTTTGTTTTGAAATATCACGGCCTGTTTTCAAAATATCGCAATCGCCGACAACATCTCCAAAATGATTCAGGTATTCCGGAATGTCCTCCGCCAAGACGGCGCTTATTTCGACCACCCATCCCATTCGGCCGGCAAAATCTCAACTCGCCTCGCCACTGATGCGCCGAATGTGAAGGCTGTAAGCAAGAACTTTTTTTGCTTATCCTAAAAAATTTTAGGCTATCGATTATCGGCTCGGCTCGGTTTTCAACGCTGCAATCGCTTTGACTGCTGGTACCGGAATCGCCTTCTATTATGGGTGGCAGATGGCACTGCTCAGTAAGTTAAAAAAGCGAGGCGGACGACGACCTTATTAAAAGCAGTTATTAATAAAAAACAAATAGCATGGAAAATTAAATGAAAAGCATAAGCGTGGAACCCAACTTTAGTGCTTGCCCTGATGCCAATTCTGGGCATTGGCCAATCGCTCCGTGTCCGCCTCTTCCAGGGCCGCAACAACCGCGACACCTCCGATTTGGAATCATCCGGAAAGGTATCGATCTAAACTGAACTCCAAATCTCGGTACTTTTTAGATCGCCATGGAAGCCGTGGAAAACATTCGAACCGTTCAAGCCCTGACGCTCGAGCGGACGATGCACGCCAAATTCTGCCACCACTTGGATAAGCCGCACGAAACGAGCAGGCAAAAGGCAGTGCTCCAGGTGCGTCTGATGAACAGAAAAACAAACTCGTTTCAGGGCTGCGCCTATGCCGTGGCCAACTCGTTGATGTTCTTCATGTTTGCCGCTGAATTCCGCTTTGGTGGCTGGCTGATTATGGACCATCATATCACCAATCCAATCAACGTCATGAGGTTCAAATTAAGCTCTATTCGCCAAATTCTGATTCAGGGTCATGATGGCCATCCAGTTTTCGTCGAGCTCTCTCGGCTTCGCTTCAGCGTATTTTCCGGAATATGCCAAGGCGAAGTTCGCGGCCGGGCTCATTTTCAAGATGCTGGGAGAAAGCCCGTCGATTGACAATCTGAGTCAAGGTGGCAAGAGGACTGTAAGGATCTGTAATTTAGCTGAATCTAACTTTTTTCTAGACTATCCACGGAGCTGTCAACTTTAAGGACGTTAGATTCTGCTATCCTCAACGGCCGGAAGTTCAAGTGCTGAAAGGTAAAGAAGGAAATTACTGAAAAGCAGCTCATTGGTTTAGGAATGAACTTGAAAGTAAACCCTGGCGAAACACTGGCATTGGTGGGTGCTTCTGGATGTGGAAAAAGTACCGTTGTCCAATTACTCGAAAGATTCTACGATCCAAATAATGGATTCTTGGTATGTTCTTGTTATCAATAACCATTATCGTTTATTTAGGAAGTAGACGGAGAAGATATCAAACAATTGAATCCTCAGCATTTGAGGAAACACATTGCCCTCGTTTCTCAAGAACCTATATTATTCGACTGCTCTATTAAAGTAAGTTCATTAGAAAATGAAAACAATAACTGCCTTTTAGGAAAATATCATCTACGGCTTGCCCGAAAACTCGGTTTCTGATAGCGAAGTGCTGGAGGCGGCTAAGAAAGCGAATATTCACAAGTCAGTTTTGTAAATTATCAATTAATGGAAAATTCTAGATTTGTGAGCGAATTACCGGACGGATATGAGACACGAGTTGGTGACAAGGGAACACAATTATCTGGCGGACAAAAGCAACGAGTGGCCATTGCCCGTGCTCTCATTAGAAATCCAAAAATATTACTTCTCGATGAGGCCACTTCAGCATTGGATACAGAATCTGAAAAGGTATTCAACAAACAACAACAAAACAATCATCTCTAATCGAATTCTATTTCAGTTAGTACAAGATGCCCTGGATAAAGCATCACAGGGTAGAACTTGTATCGTTATTGCCCATCGTCTATCTACTGTTGTTAATGCTAATTGTATTATGGTCGTCAGTGGAGGGCAGGTCATCGAGCAAGGTATTGCAAAGTCATCAAATACAGATGATCGTCAATTTTCAGGCACTCACAACGAGCTAATGGCGCTGCGTGGTGCCTATTTCAACCTGACCCTCAAACAACAGACCAAGCAAGGCGAACACGTTGCTAGTTTCTAATATTGTTATCTTGTTTTACAGTGTATGCACTCTTCGTTATCTTTTCTTTATCGGGTAATGCCCCCCAAATATCCGGTCCTTCTGTACCTGTCTCACTGATCTCTCCACAAAGTGATTTTCCCCCGGTTGTATCCTGAATAAATTCTACTTCTCGAATTAAATTAGTCAACGTTGGAATTTCATGAATAACAAAACAACTGATGAGATCGTACATAAATACAACACGGCTGTTAAAATCGTGAATCGTCCTTCGGATATGCTTTGATAATACGGACGGGAATCTGGGGCTTGTCACTGTTGTCCGTGTCAACGCGGCCGATGTTCTGGACGACCTGGAAACGAGAATTTTACAAACTAGGGCTTGCAAACCTTCATTCCTGCTGCGATTCTTCCAAATATCGCATGTTTCCCGTCTAGATGTTGCTGCGGCGAGAGGGTGATGAAAAATTGAGAGCCATTTGTGTTGGGGCCGGCGTTTGCCATGGAAAGAATACCTGAAAACATAATATTTTATGCAAAAAAAATCCCTACCAGCTCCCGTATGTTTCAATCGCTCGTCGATTTCATCGGCAAAACGATCCCCGTAAATCGACGCACCGCCACGGCCTGAAAAAGGAAATGTTTTTTCATAGAGGTCATGGCACAAACAAACCTAACTTCGGGGCAAAACAGTAACTTTTTGCCCCAAATCTTGTTCACGAAACGAACCTGTGCCTGTCGGGTCGCCGCCTTGAATCATGAACCCAGTGATAATTCGATGGAAGACTGTGTTGTTGTAGTATCCTCTTCTTGCCTAGGAAACATTTTCACACAAAAAAATTAGTCTACCTACCAATTCTGAGAAATTTTTGCATGTCTTCGGCGCGTGTTTCCAATAAAGTTCGATGGCGATCTTGCCCATGCTAAATGAAAGGTATTTCTTAACCTAAAATGAACGGACCTAGTTTCGAAGATGACGAAGGGGATTTCTCCAGACCCGTCGTACGCCATCTAAAAAAAAGGTAGGGTTAGAAAAGTAACAAAAAACAAATGTTTATTGGAAGAAAGACACGAAAAAGAACGACTTTTTAGTTGATTTCCGGGATTCGAAAAATTCGGGCGAGCGAAATGCCGTGCGGCTACTACGGACACTTCCATTGTATGCCGGTCGGCATTGAGAATTGTGCGTAGCCGGCAACACCGCCGACTTTGCAAAAATTGCTTGAAAAGCCGAAAATGAACTTTATTATTAACTTTTTTTGTTGATAAAAAAATTTTGAATTATAGAATTATTATTGAAGATAGAAATTGGCTATTATAATTTGACCGAATTGACTCTTTATCAGTACCGCTCTGGATAACTTTCTCTTCGATTTCAGTTATTTTTTTGTCCCGCAAAATCACAACTTTTTCAGGGAACAAACTTGAGGATGCTCCGAGCTGGAACTACCAAGCTGGCCACGGCCGCCGCCCTGCCCATCTGCGAGCAGCAGCGTGGAATGGCTACCCTGAAGGATATTTCGCTCCGACTGAAGTCTGTCAAGAACATCCAGAAGATCACCAAATCCATGAAGATGGTGGCAGCTGCAAAATACGCGAAGGCTGAGCGTGACCTGAAGGGAGCCCGCTCATATGGAGTTGGCGCCAAGGCCTTCTTCGACAACATCGACCCCAAGACCGAGGAGGCCGCCGGAGAGACGAAGAAGAAGCAGCTTCTCGTGCTGATCACTTCTGATCGTGGCCTGTGCGGTGCCGTGCACTCCTCGATCGCCAAGGAGGCCAAGAACATCCTGAACCATAAGGCCGCCGATGTTGACTACAAGCTCGTTACGATCGGTGATAAGTCCAAGGCCGCGCTCCAGCGTGTCTTCGCCAGCACCATCGCGCTGTCCGGAAATGAAATCGGCCGGACCCCGCCCAGCTTCGAGGATGCTGCCATCGCCGCCCAAGCTATTTTGGACTCCGGAATTGAATTTGATGAGGGCACCATCCTCTTCAACAAGTTCAAGACTGTCGTGTCTTACGAGACGTCCAAGCTACCTATTCTCCCGCTGGAGGCCATCAAGGCAAAGGAGGCGCTGAACACCTACGATTCGGTGGATGACGACGTTCTCCAATCGTACAGCGAATACTCCTTGGCTCAGCTGATCTACTACGCGATGAAGGAGAACGCCACCTCTGAGCAGAGCTCGCGTATGACTGCTATGGATGGCGCATCTAAGAACGCCGGCGAGATGATTGACAAGCTGACCCTCGCTTTCAACCGTACCCGTCAAGCTGTGATCACCCGTGAACTTATTGAGATCATTTCCGGAGCCGCTTGTGTTTAAATGTCGACTGAATTTCCAGTTCCCACCTTCGATCGACTGTTTTCTGGCTTGTATGAGCGTCCCCTAACCGTCATCTCTTGTTTTTCCTATAGCCGAACTGTGTTGTCTCGTAAACTAGATTCAATTAGTGTTAATTTCTTTATGGACGTTTTCTTTAATGAAGAATAAATTTATAGGTGACTACCCGACTTCGGCTAGATGGGTCGGTTGGACGATGATCAGTCACCATGCTCTTCAAAGTAGTTGTTTCGACACTGACACAATCTCAAATTTAGGGGGGTTAGTATGAACAAAGACAAATGGAGCGAGCGCGAAGCCAAGCAATTAAAGGTATATTTATCGTTGCGCCAATGTATTTTCGGCATGTTTAGGATAGTCTCTCCGCGAAATTTGAACCGTCGAACAGTCGCCGTAGGCCGAGAACATCATCAAATTCTATGATGGTAATTAATTTTAGCATATCGTACCTTTTTTTAGCAGCCGCTGAAAATCGAGATTGATGAAACGAAGGATGGATCATATTCCTCACCAAAGCGCTCAAATCCAACGGAGAAGGTCTGTTTGACGAACTCCCCGAATCATTTCAAATTTAGTTAATCGACGCACTTTCGCCGAATTTCGCGGCGCTATCTGAAAAACGCCGCTGCGTGCAACCTGGAGAGTATCGGCGGTTGCTGGATGGGCGCAAATCTCCGTCCCAGAAGCCATCTACTAGCAGTGAGCGCTAAAATTTTGTGCTATGAGAATCGGGCATACGTTCGTAACCAATGGGCAGTTTGTAGCACTCTGTCGTATTTTTATTCACTTGACGATGACGTAAGCAGTTATACAAAATGGCGCAAAAGTACGAGGCCGGAAATTTCCATTTCCCGGGGCGCCGCTCAGATCTGTAGTCGCAAATGGTTCTTACCCAGAAAATCTGCTAATTACGCCCATGGCCGTCGGGGAGAATACGTGTTATTACTAATTCATCCAGCCAAGCCGATCACTGGATATTTTATTCTTTTAGTGGATAGTCCTGGCGGCGCTTCTGACAGCAGCATCCACTCTTGTTCTTCAGCAGACGGTATTACAAATTTGTATTTTAAAACTTGGCTTCGTTTTTTAGAAACCAATGAGGTCGGATTTGAAGGGAGCTCGTTAATCGAGGCGACTCGCGGTCAAAGCCCATCGAAGAATCCGGGGAGCTCCCGTCACAGAGACGCAGACGAAGAGACCCCAGTTCTGCGCACCAGTGGTCGGGTGGGTTTTGCCTCTTTAGTAATTGGTGTGGCCCTGCCTGGCCTGTCTGCCCATTTGGGCCGCCTCTCCGCTGCCCACTAATCCGCTCCTATTCACCCCCCAATGCTAGCGCCGTCAACAGCGATATACCTTTTCCATTATGAGATTTTCTTGGAACCTAGCTTAGTGGGAATGTTTCTGGGTTCTTAGTGTAGTAGTCTAAGTTAGTAGTAGCCTTAATTTTGCATGAGATTGTGATATTCCAGCCACGTCGATCATCCGATGCCGTCCGGGCGGCATCTGGAGGTTCCGGGATGAGGCACAAGAGCACGAATGAATCGTCCACCCGACGGAAGGGTCGGAATTCACGGCTCGCAAAGGAACTGCGCAAAGTGGTGGGCTTACTTTTTTTTACCTACAACCCTAATCTGCTGATTTCCTAACCATTGAAGTCGAAAATTTCAGAATGACTTCGGATATCTACTATATATAAATTTCTAATGTCCGTGCGCCCGTCCGTCCAGGAATTCAACGTGCCCCCAGGGCATGTCCCGGGGAGAGGGGGCCGTTCGCGCATTAATGGTAGCAGAAATCCCCAAACAAAAGAATAATTGTTTCGCAACGGTTTTTATTGATTTATTTAGTATTAAAAAATTAAAAAAGGGAAACAACTTTCTTTCAAGGGTGTTCTAGCCATTACGCGTTTCTTAGATGTTTTTAGTATCTAAGAAGGGGAAATAACTTTCTTTCAAGGGTATTCTAGCTATTACGCGTTTCCTAGATGTTTTTTTAGTATCAAGGAAGGGGGAATAACTTTTTTTCAAGGGTATTCTAGCCATTACGCGTTTCCTAGATGTTTTTTTAGTATCAAAGAAGGGGGAATAACCTTCTTTCAAGGGTATTCTAGCCATTACGCGTTTCCTAGATGTTTTTTTAGTATCAAGGAAGGGGGAATAACTTTCTTTCAAGGGTGTTCTAGCCATTACGCGTTTCTTAGATGTTTTTAGTATCTAAGAAGGGGAAATAACTTTCTTTCAAGGGTATTCTAGCCATTACGCGTTTCCTAGATGTTTTTTTAGTATCAAAGAAGGGGAATAACTTTCTTTCAAGGGTATTCTAGCCATTACGCGTTTCCTAGATGTTTTTTTAGTATCAAAGAAGGGGGAATAACCTTCTTTCAAGGGTATTCTAGCCATTACGCGTTTCCTAGATGTTTTTTTAGTATCAAGGAAGGGGGAATAACTTTCTTTCAAGGGTGTTCTAGCCATTACGCGTTTCTTAGATGTTTTTTAGTATCTAAGAAGGGGAAATAACTTTCTTTCAAGGGTGTTCTAGCCATTACGCGTTTCTTAGATGTTTTTAGTATCTAAGAAGGGGAAATAACTTTCTTTCAAGGGTATTCTAGCCATTACGCGTTTCCTAGATGTTTTTTTAGTATCAAGGAAGGGGGAATAACTTTCTTTCAAGGGTATTCTAGCCATTACGCGTTTCCTAGATGTTTTTTTTAGTATCAAAGAAGGGAATAACTTTCTTTCAAGGGTATTCTAGCCATTACGCGTTTCCTAGATGTTTTTTTTAGTATCAAAGAAGGGGGAATAACTTTCTTTCAAGGGTATTCTAGCCATTACGCGTTTCCTAGATGTTTTTTTTAGTATCAAAGAAGGGAGAATAACTTTCTTTCAAGGGTATTCTAGCCATTACGCGTTTCCTAGATGTTTTTTTTAGTATCAAAGAAGGGGGAATAACTTTGTTTCAAAGAGTATTCTAGCCATTACGCGTTTCTTAGATGTTTTTATTATTAAAGAAGAGACTTAACTTTCTTTTAAAGGGTATTCTAGCCATTACCAGGTTCTTCTGTTTTTTATTCTTGAAGAAGGGTGATACATTTGCTTCCAGGGGGTGTTCTGACCATTACGCTTCACTTCTATTTTTGTTGAGGATCAACTAAGGATGTGGAGTTTCTTTCAGGGGGCATTCTGAGGAGGGACAGGCTATTTGGTTCTGAACATGGCCGTAGGCATATTTCGAAGGGTATTCGCGCCAATGGGGAAACAGCGGGAAAATGGGAAGCACCCTGTAGTGCCTTGCCCCCCGGGAGGGCCAGTCGATAGCAGCCGCGAAGCGGCTGTTATCGACTGGTTACATTACTAATCTATTTTGACTCATTTTCTATCACTGCTATTGCTGCAGCAACATTTAACACTTTTAGGGCGTCGGCTCTCGCACTACCCAAAATAGTGCTTCAGCGGCTTTGTTCGGGACCCCGGTGAAGGAAATCAAAACGGAACCCGCTGAACCGGTCAGCCGGCTCATCCTTCATAAATTTCAGTTTTTTAGTCACCTTCTCCCCCGCCTACACAGAAGCGCGTCAGAACGCCGAGGCTGCCCCACTCGCCCCCGTTCCAGCCAAGGCATTGACCGACTTACGGGCCGCTAATTCATTATCTTTGCAGGAAGATTCTCCGAAATACCAGTCAAAGTGCCTCGGAAAGCAGTGATGGGCGAAGAGCCACTCCGATTTCCATGGTAACGATTGTGCTTTGCTGCGAATTAAACTATATTTTTTAGAAGCCGGACACATCTAAGAAGGGAGCGAAACAGAATGTTCAAAAACGGTAAAAATTTTAACATTTGTCCCGGATTTTTCCGATTCAACTCTAGTAATGCAAAAAAAACTTTCGGGTAATCGGGCGCTAGTTTGTCAGGACTATTTATTCGAAGCAGCCATTTCCGCAACAATGTACCTCTCCGATTAGTGATGCTTGAGATAGACGAAATCCCCGTGGTGATCATCTTGGTGCTTGTCGTGCTCGTATCCATGTTGATGATCATCGCCATGGTGGTCGTCGTGCTTAGTGTAGTGCTGATCGTGATGGCCGTACTGTTGATCATAGTGGGGCTCGTAGTGTGAATCTTGTCCGTGGTAGTGAGAGCTGAAGATTATGAGGGTTGGCCGTTATCTTACAACAAACTGACTTGTATGGCGAATATTTCTCTTGATGGGGTTCATAATAGCCATAGGTAGAGTAGGGGGTGTAACCGTAAGGGGCTTGCTCATGGTGGAATTCGGTGCCATAGCTATGCGGAGCGTATGGGGTGTAGTGAGAATTGTGATCATCTGAAAATTGGCTTTTGTAGTTACAAGTCAAAAATATTTTTTTAATGGTTGAATTTGATCGGTCCTCTCTCTTACTTACCATGATACGGGGTGTACTTGTAGCCTTGACCATGATCATTGCCTGTTCCGTAATACTTGCCGTACTCGGCGCCCTTGGCGTAGTGTCCTATAATTCAGGTGCTAGTATTAAGTATTAATGTAGTGTATTATGCTAGTATTAATTTAGTGCTCGCACTCACCATTTCCTCCGTATTTGAACGTTCCATATTCCTTGTGCTCGCCGTTTTCGTAGCCCTTTTCATAGCCTTCCTTGTATGAGCTGCCGTAGTGGCTCTCGTGGCCTTTCTCGGGTGCTGAAATGGTGATGAATTTTTGATGGTGAAAAATCGCTGTTATACGGGGCAAGGCTCACAATAATGTTCGTAATAATATGGAGCAGCCATCGCTCCGCAAATGCCGGCGGCAAGCATAGTGAATTTGAGGGAGACCATGCTGCTGATCGGGTTCAGGCATTTCTTGTGGCAGACCTTGACTTTTTATACTGTGCAAGTAGGTCGCGCATTCCACAGCTGCCGCCACAGTCTTCCACGTTTTTGTGGCACCCTTTGTCCAGCGGTGTTTGTTAGTAGGAATTTGTATCTCCGGTAGGAAGCGTATAAATGTGTTTCTGGGTTTTTTCGGGGAGTTTCTGACAAAAAGACTCCATTAGAAATACCAGTGATAATTAGGCAGCAAATTTTTTATGAAAAACAAAACTCCTTTCCAGAGAGCGATCACCTCCCGAAGAATTAAATGAGAGCTTCTTGGTCGAGCCCGACTCCGAGCGCGTCTTCATGGAGATAACGCAGAAGAACCAAGAAGAACTGGACTCGGCGATGACCTTAATTCAAAAAGAGATGAAACAACATAAGACCTCTGAAATACCGCTACTTCCGAAGGCAATTAGAATCGGTAGCGATTGCCCGTTTTTTTATATATTTTGTTTTTCAGGCAAGTACGAGATCAAGTCATGGTATAGCTCGCCGTTTCCAACTGAATACGCGCATGCGCCGGTCGTGTTCATCTGCGAATTCTGCTTGAAATATGTGCGTACGTACGAGCTGCTGTTGCAACACATTGGCAAATGCCCGCTCTACCATCCGCCCGGCAATGAAATTTACCGCAGTAACGGCCATTCGGTTTTCGAGGTGAGACTTCTCAATATTCGCTTAATGATTTCCCTTAGGTTGATGGTGCGTTGGCGAAAACATACTGCCAGAACCTCTGTCTGCTCTCCAAATTGTTCATCGACCACAAGACGCTTTACTACGACGTCGAGCCGTTCCTTTTCTATGTGTTGACGCAGAACGACGAAAATGGGCACCATTTTGTCGGATACTTTTCAAAGGTACACCAGCTTCTGAAATGTGCCTACTAATTTCATTTTAGGAGAAGAATTCAGTGAACTGGAATCTTTCCTGTATCGCGACACTGCCCTGCTATCAGAAATCCGGATATGGCCGCTTTTTGATTGCCTTCAGTAAGTCGGCGAATAGCAACGATCTAATTTATCGTTAGGCTACCTCTTGACGCGACGCATGGGGGCGACCGGCTCGCCGGAACGGCCACTTTCACGCATGGGTCTGCTGGCCTATGCGCCGTATTGGCGGGAAGCCGTGTTGGAATGGACGAAGAAGAATCGGAAACGGGACAGCAATGACAAATTTACTGTCAACGGTACTGGTTATGGATCGGGAAGATTAAAGAGATGAGGACGGCATCTGTTGAACCCCCCTTGGGGAGGGGGGGGGGTTCAACAGGTCCCGCGGCGATCTCGCGCGAGAGAGGGCTCCCAGGGGGAGAGGCGCAGAGACATTTTCTTTCCCTCGCGTAATCGAATGACTTATGCCGCCCCTATCTCTTTAACTTTGATTCTAGCCATCGCCTCCGCGACCGGCATCCGCCCTAGCGACATCATTTTCATCATGGATCACATGGGGTGGCTGTCAAGCGAGAACCGGGATTCTTCACCGTAAGCTTTTAGCTGGCGCTAACAATTTTTTAGAACTTCTAAAGGAATATAGTAATCGTTTTTGGATTAAACCAAAATGTTATTACATAGAAATTTCAACAACCCTTAGTACATCAAGATTCTATTAATTTAATTTTCAGTTCATCCCGCTCCATCGAGGTCACGATCAATTGGCACGAAGTCGACGAGCACTGGGAGCAGAGTAAGAAGCCCAACGCTTTCTTGAAGCTTGACGAGCTGGCTTTACAGGTATACCGATTTTCGTAGTGACATACGGGGGGCGGAAACCGTTTTTGTTTCTAGACGTTCTATCGATGATCACGTACCCACTAGCACCCATTCGTGTCGTCGTCCCCCATTAAAGCCTTTTCACCATGCTTTTGCTAATCTTAGTTGAATGCCGTGTGTAAATGTCCTTTGTCGTTGTACTGTTTGCACAAATATTTATAAATTTTTTTTTGTGTTGCATGGTTGATGTGATAAATGTGTACTTTTTGATGGCTGGTCGGTAGCGCGGAATGGTGGGCAAGTGGTTCAGCGCATTTGCAGCGCTGCGGTGGGCGAGGGGCTACATGGCTTGCACTGAGACCAGGGGCTTGCAGCGCTTGTGTCCTTGCTGCGCTTCGGAAGCAGCCACTTGCTCTGGGAGTTATTGTGAAACTCCGAGACAACGATTCGGCAGTTCTTAGCGGGTGTTGTGTTGTGTCTTTGAAAGTCGGAGTGGGAAATTACATCATACAAAAAATCTAGTCTACATATTATCAAGCCATATTTCAGTGGAAACCCGGCGTCTTTGCCCAGCGCACCACTTTTGTACGTCCCGCGCCCCGTGTCGACACACGAAGCCCAACGTAAGTTTGTCGGAGCATGCCGGAATATTTTTTTCGCTTATCCAGCCCGATAAATTAAACTGAATTCAATTAATTGGGTGCTTCAGCCATCGGCGTTCCGGATCTTTGCCGTACATCGGCGGGACGGGCAGCACACCTAATGGTCGAAGCATTGCCTCGGTCGGCTCGACGGTGAAGGATGGCATCGGACGGAGGAGAGCGGATCGCCGGAAGAAGGCACGTGAGGATACGACGGAAGATGATCAGGACGACCTCAAGGAGTTACCCAGAAAGGGCGGGCGCTCTTGTAATCCACGTGAGTTTTGCGTCGGTCTGGTTAAGTTTCTGCTGCCACACCTTTATTGCTCGTGTTCTCAATTCTATTTTCAGTGATCAACCTCGGATTACGCAAAAAGAAGGAGGACGATTCTGACGATGAGGAGGAAAAGTCGAATCCATCCGCACGGCGACGGTTGCCACTCGGTCGGCCGGCCGGTCTGAATAAGAAAGGACCACGAGCAGCCAGCAACGAGAAGAAGCCGGCTCAGGGCGCGCGCAGTGCCGGTGGCACGGGGCGGAAGAAGGCCGTGTTCGAGGAGGACAGCCCGGTTGAGCAAAGCTCGTCGTCGTCAAGTGGTGGGTGGATATTGAGCTTTAAAAAAGCCCAAAGAGCATGCAAGTTCGTAAGCTAAAAAACTTTCATACTTTTTCAGACTCCGAGGACGAGCCGTATCGGGTGCGCAAAAACAGCCAAAAGAGCTCGAAAAAAGGCCCAACCGTCAACGCGACGAACGTGAAGCCGAAGGGCCGAGGTCGACCTCCTAAGGCCAAGAAGCCGCAGCAGCGTAGCCCTGGAAAGGTCTTTCCGCCAAACTACGGGCGCAGAGGGCGTTCCAACACGCCGCCCAAATCCCCGACGACGCCTGTGCAATGCGCGAGTGTAGCAACGAGCGTTGGCACCGATGGCACGGTCCCGATGCGAATGGGCGAGGCGGCGCCGAGCAGTCCTGGCGGCGGCCGAACGATGGCTGACGTCGGCGGGGATGACTCTGAAGATGGAGTAAGTTATAACGATTGATTTGGCAGTTTTCGGTATTTTGAATAGGTTTAATCTGTTTTTCAGGGCCAACCCCCACTCCCGACGTCTTTACCGAGACCGCCACCTGATCCGCCGGAAGAAGATGGGCCTCACATTGAACAACGTTCTTCCCGCGGCGTGACATCGAGTCTTCGGTCCGAGTCGCGCCACTCGAGCCAGTCCAACTTTCGGCAAAAGGCCAGTCGGGCGTCGAGCACGGATAGCTCTCGAAGCAGAAGTATCGTGGAATCGGACGACGATCATATCCGGCACAGGTGAGTGGACGTTAGAATTTTCAAACTTTTTAACTTTTCAACAAAAGGAATTTTAACATAGAAAATGTCACTTTTTCTAAATCTGATATGTCGGCAGCGACCTTGAAGGTTTTTCACAACGAATACACACGCTAAAATCCTTTGCTAATCCGATAGCACTAAAAACAGCTGACGAAACTAAATTTTTATAAACATTTTAATAGCTCAGCCACTATTTTTTTATATTAATCATGATTTTCAGGCCAAGCTCCCCAGCGTCATCGCTATCTTCCCTGGACGATCGTTGGCGGGAGAGCCCGCGGCCTCTCGGCGACCTCTTCCCCACCCATACCGATACCGTGAACATGGGCGGCGTGCCGGATATGGACGACGACGAGCCATCAGGCAGCGGGTAAGCTTTGGTTTTTTAAACTTACGCCAAATTATTACCCCTACCCACTTTCCGATTTTTTTCATCTCAGTTAGTTGGCTTGTCTTATTTTTTTTCGGCTCAACTATACTATATTATTACCTCATATGACATGCCAAACATTTTGGTCTACTTTATAGCACGGTAGCTTCAAAAAAAGAACATCTACTGAAATTCTCCTCGAAAATACACGTTTATTTAGTGACGCCGCTTCTAACGACGAAGCGCCGCCGGTGCTCAACGTCGAACCTATTGGTGCCGCCGAGCCGATGAGCAGCGGTGGTCTGCCCCCCCGTCGCCACACTGCAAATGGCACCATCACCAATACGTATAGCTGCTCCTAAATTTCCTTACCGCATTCTATTTGCAGGCAATCATCCGCTGTCCATCCCCGCATTTGACGACGACGACGACGCGCCGCCCCAGCTATCCCCGAATATCATGGTGCGTGCTGAATTAATTTTAATTGGGATTTTGGGCCCAATTTGATTGGATAACGCTCGATTTAGGATGAGAAAAACGACACGGCCACGTCGAGCAAATCCGTCACCGCCCACGACGTGCCCGATGTAAGTGGGAGATCGTTAGATCGAGCTTATTTTGCAAATTTAGGGTCATTAAACGTTTTTGTTTTGCAGAGCGCAATGGACCGCCCGCCCAAGGCCCCGGCAATGCTGTCGCACCCAATCGAGGATGAGGTAAGCAGGCTCTTTTCTGCAGTTTTTGCAGGGCACAATTTTTATCCTGCCGTGAAAATTAGGCAGACAGTCAATCATTTTTTGCAGGATCCGATCCCGGAAATACACCACAGCTTGCCCGGACTCTCAAGTGGCTTGCCGCCCGTCTCGCAACAGATCCAGATGACGCCCCAGTCACAGCATACGCTACAATATCCAGGGTTAGTTGCAAGGGGAAGCTAGCGACAACGTGCAAAGGGCCAGGATTTCACGTCAGAATGCATAAAATCAAAATTGCTGAATTCAGAACGCCTAATTTCATAGTTTCGGTATCATAAAAATTTACCCTATTTTAGGAGTGGCGGCGGGATGCTGGTCATGGATTTGGGGCAAGCGACACCGGGCAGCGTGGGACAGCTTTGTGCCCCGGGAAGTGTCCATCAGACCACGCCGGAGATGCCGCAATTTATGAGCCCGCCGCAGATGCAGGTTGGGCTTTTAGAACTCGCCGTAAATCGGCGAATTTCTTGAAAAATTATTGAATTCAAACAGTGGCATTTCAGTTTGAACATTGGTAGGATGAACAACTGACCTACGAATTTTTCAGCCTTCCTGCATGCAACCCGGCTCGGTCTCCTCGGTGCACTCGGTCGGCGCCGCGGGGATGAACACGTCGGGCGGGCCGCACGAAATCCCGCCAGGCTACGGCCCGTCGACGCCCGCAACGCCGCTGCGACACCCGGTTACACCGGGCATCGGGCCCGCGCAGAACACGCCGCCCATGTCCAACCAGCCGGCCAGTAAGTGCCTAAAAATCACTAAAACTCGAAAAAATGTGCTTCAAGAGCTCTCAAAATTCTTTTTTATGGTCGCCTATGGCGTAAGTCCTCAAAACTAGAGAAACCACAATTGTTCATCTTTTTAAAGTTTATAAATGAGAAATTCCAGTGGGCACAAGCCCTTATGGGATGCCTCTCGGCCCGTCGCCGCTTTGCGTGCCCAGCGTTGCCGCCCAGAGCACGCCACCGATGATCCAAGCCCAGCATCAGCCACCCCCGCCACAACAGCAGCCCCAGCCTAGCACGAGTCAACCCGCGAAACGCGATAAAAAGGTATGAATTTTCCCCTGCTAAAAAAACTAAAACTACGATCAGAACCTATTGGCGATTTTTAGAAAGCGTCCTCCAGCCGCTCAGCCGCACACCACGCCGCCCCGCCGGGCGCCCAGCAGCAAGCGATGCAAGCATTCGGCTCGCTTCCGGCCCACCCTTTCATGGGGATGCAAACGCCGCTAATGCCCTCCGGCTTCACCTATCCCACCATGTCGTATAATCAGGCGGCATATATGCATCCCGGCTTCGACCCGATCACCTATCAGGTAGCAAATTCCCATCGCCAAACAACGACGATTTTCAGCAACAATGGTTTCAACAAAACTACCAACGTGCCCAGAATCCCGGTGAGTTTTGTCTTTTTTTAGCTAAGGAAAGCAGCTTTTTTCGAACCGCTCGAATACCGCTCGAACCGGTTTTTAGATACCCCATTTCGTCGTTTTCGCTTTCGAAAAACGGATTTCCCAATTTCGACTGGCTTAAAATTACTAAAAAAACGCAATTGTCAGAATCGTGCAATTATCGGCTTACCATTAGTTTCAAAACTACGGAACCTCACGGCAGCGAATTCCGGTTTCTTTTTTACAATCGTTTCTCCCCCAAATCATCAGATATGCCTTCCCATCCCCTTTACAAGGGCTTAAAAAACCATGCCAATTTCAGCTCCAATGATGCAATTCTATGGCGGCTACGCCCAGGCACCTATGGGCGGCGGGCAGCCCCGTGTGCCCGGCCCATCGTCAGCTTCTGGTTCCGGATCAGGCTCCGGCCGTCATCCAAACCAGGGCCCCACAGCCGGAACCTCCCAACCCTGGCCGACCCACCAAAATTTTGCCAGCACCCCCACCGGCTTTGCCCCACCACACCCGCAACAAGTTGCCCACCCGCAGTTCCCGGATTTTGCCTCATACCCGGGGGCCACGTGGCCGGGCCCTTTCAATCAGACCTTTAACCCGATGGGCGGACCGGGCAAATGACAATTAGTTCCGGTCTAGCCTTTTTGAATGCCCCCCCGCTAACGACCAGCACCCCACAACGATGGGCATCTAATGCCCGCCATTTCCCCTTACCGGTCGTGTCGATACGCCACAGATGGACCAATTCTCAACCCCGGCGCGCAATAACGAAATTGCAATCCCCCATTTTTCGGGCCTGTATTTATGAAGCCCTTTAGTTGTTGTTGCATATCGATTCCACTCACTCACTCTCCGCACCACATAATCTCAAAGCTTTTACCGCTCGCCAACGATCTCCACCCACCCCCTTCTCCTCCTTGTAGTGCATTTTAGGACTTGCTGGTCTCAGGTCGCCGCCATTCCCTCAATTTTTACCAACTTCCAACCCGCCATTCCTGCCATCTCGAATAGACTGTATTGTGCCACCCTGTATTTGACGCCTTTTCACGCTCCCCTGGATTGAATGCCCCCCGAAAAATCGAATTTCTGAGACAAAATGTTGTTTTTGCACGGGCGCTATATCTAGGAGACGCGAAATGCGTTAGATACGGGTTTCCCTATATTCCTTCCCGGTATCTTTTCACCCCAAGCCAACGCGTTCCTTCCTCACTCTCGTGATACGATAAAGATATTTCGGTTTTACGAAATATGCGCCATACACAGGACAATACATAAATTCAAAGACGTTTATTATGTACATTTAATAAAATGAAGGGGGGGGTTCGAGTTGTCGAGTGTAAACGGGAGAGAGGGGAGGGGCTAGGGGTGTTCGCATTTGCTGGTCGTCTTCGGGAGTGTCTTTGGTTGTGTGTGGTTGCCGTTCACTTCGCGTGCCGTCTTCGGTTTGTGCGCACAGCGGGACCGCGGCTTCAGATCGGCTCGCATCGTCTTCCCCTCGTTCTTCGGCGCCTCGGAGCGCGGGGCCTCCGATTTATCTTTAATGGGCGTCGACATAATGTGATACTCTGAACGGGCCGGCGGATCGTACTCGGACTTCGACTCGGCGGTTCGCGTGTGTTCGTCGAATTGGGTTGCCTGAAGGTGATCGAATTCCAAACGGTTATCTAGGAACCTGTTCATGGATATCGTAGCCAAAGTCCGGGATACGATGGCCGTTCGACCGTTTGGGGAGCAGCTTCAACTCGGCGAAAAATGGGTCGGAGAGAAGTCGATGTGCCGTGATTCTAGAAGCGACATTCGGAAAATGCGCTTTAAGGCTATACCGTTTTTTAATGTTGTAGACGAGGATCTTCTCGAGGACGGGCAGCATTTCCTTTGGTATCGACGGCATATGCTGAACAAATCGGAATTGACGGCTGTTTTACCGGGTTCACCTTTTGCAGGCCAAGGTTTTTGCCCTTGCGCACGCGAGGTCGGCCCACTTTCATCGCCTGGCAATGATGGTAACTCGCTCTGGTAACAGACCCATGGGTCGAAAAACTGCGTATAAGAATTCAGCGTTAAAAATAGCCTAAGGTGCAAAATAAATAAAGCTAAAAACTGGGAAAACTAGCGCATAAAAAAAGGCGCGAGCCGTTAACTTCGAGGCCTCATCCAGCACCTTCACGTCTTCATCGGTCGGGTAGCCCAGGACATTGACGACGACGGCGGCCATTTCTTTCGTCTTGGCTGATGTGAAGAGCGTCTAAACAGGAAAACGGTAGAAATCCAAATAAAATTACAAAAAGATAAACTAAAACTATTCGAAGAAAATTACCGACCTGGCCTGTTGCTATTTCCGCCATGACGCACCCGCCGGACCACACGTCTAAAAGGCAAGTGAGCGGTGTTGGCAATCGTCACCGATGCCACAGGTGAAGCGACACGAACCGAACATCAGCTCCGGGGCACGATAGGGTCGGGCGACCTGCAAAAGGCGTAATTTCACAAATGCAAAAACAGCACCTGATATGGCATATAGTCGGCCTCGTTGCTGATGATCCGGGCGTTGCCAAAGTCGGCCAGCTTGAGCAGCATCGTGTTCTCGTCAAAGATGAGGTTCGCCGGCTGAGACAACGATTAGATTTGGTATATAAGGGTACACCTTAATATCCAAATGGGCAATGTTCATCGAGGCGAGATAGGCGAGGGCGTTGAACATTTGCCAGGAGAGAACCTGAAAGTAAGTGATTACCAGCGTTGTCACCATGCATATGAACCTCACGAAACATTTTTTAACCTAACACCTGAATCTACCATTTTTGTCAATTTGTGCCACTAAATTTGGCCTATCAAGGGCAAAATGGCTTTAAAAAAAACAACCAAAACTTTCTAAATTCGTTCTAAAAACAACTTCGCAACTGCAAAGCTATCACCTTTGTGTCCAGCAGGTTGAATCCCTTCCGGTTATCCTTTAGATGCCGACCGACTTCGTGGGGCAACATGTCGAGAATCATGTTGTAAGGGTTCTAAATCAACAAATTCTCGCAAAATCTTAAACAAATACCCCGATATCTGTTGTCAGCTGATAATAAAGTAGTCGGAGGCAGTGGTTGTGCTGGATTTTGCTGAGGATCTCGATCTCGGCCGGCTAAACAGGGATTTCGAAGTGCTTTTGAGGGCATAAGGTTAGAGTGCAGTTTACCCCCCAGCCCTAACTTTTCAGCCATACGTCCTATTAATGCGCCGAGTATCTCAAAATGTTCGCCGTGGTCGAATTACTATAAAAAAGTTGTTTTCTTGCGGCAAAAATTGCTGAAAAATTTTTTACAAGATTTTGAAAGTTGAAAAGATTAAGCCGCTATGCTTCGATGTACTAGGAGTCTAAAACTCAAATATTTTTATTTTCCGCTATTTTTTTTCGGCTCAAACGTACTGTAGGCTTGTTCTCCAGAGCAAGAGCTACATTTTGGTACTATTGACAGCTCTGTACGTCAAAAGATAGCCGAGATACGAAAACCCACTTTGGAACAGCAAAATTTAACTAAAGAAAACCCAGACTTATAATTGTTATAAAAATTTTTCTAACAATTTTTGATGTAAGAAAACAACGTTTTTATAGTAATTCGACCACGGCGAACATTTTGAGATACTCGGCGCATTAATAGGACGTATGGCTGAAAAGTTAGGGCTGGGGGGGGGGTAAACTGCACTCAAGCCGGGCATAAATTACAAGTTCTCCTTCCTTTTGCGGCAATGGTTCTGTTGACGAGCCTTTGCCCTTTGGTCGGCATAGCTGGGTCGCCCTGGAAAACAAATTTCAGAATTTACCCAATAGCCTTTTAGCACTTGACGTGTTTGTAGGCGAACAGCCCCTGCTCCGGCTGCTCGAGGCTGATCAATACGACCGTGCTGAAGCGCCCATGCCCGCAGTTTATGGTATCTGAATTCGGATTTGGCAAACGAATCACAAACTCCATGCCTCCGGTCCATTCGATCGTTGCGTCGGCGGTGCTGGACTTTCCGTGGACACGTTTTGCTTGAAACTTTCTTGGAACCCTCGGTTTCTCGTCTTCTGACATGACTAAACGTAAAGACTTATGCTCATTACAGTTCAAGCGAAAAGCTTACCAATTAAGTGAAGCGATTTGAAAGATGCGCGTAGTAGAAAATGGTGGTGAGGCGAAGTCGGCGTTCTTCATGTTCAAACAACTCAGGGAAATTTGGGCCATTTCCGAGATTCCGTCGATTTATTCAAATTACGTTGCCCTCATTGTCCTTCGGCTTTCTGGCTTTCAAAGATGAAAGCACCTTTTAAAAGTTTGTATATTTTTCTAGTTAGCTTAAAAGTTATTTTTTCTGAAAAAACTATTGATCATCCAAAATGTCTTTATTGTTATCTTTTGCTATAAATTGTTTTTGTGTTTCAGGGCTGTTTAGCGCGTCCGTTTAAAAAGGCACGCCGATTTGTATTTTTTGCTGGTTTGTACCGCCTAGAAAGCCCACGGCCGTTCAGATCTATGGGAAGGCGCGCATGAGAGGGGCTTCCCCCACTCCCCAAAAATGTTAAGAGCGCCACTCTTCTTTAGCTCATAACTTTCCCCCCTGACCGTATTTTGAAAATCGCCGCTCTAGTTCGATAGAGAAAAAAATTCTGCACATTTTAGTAAAAAAACTTAGAGGAATAGCGGCTGACAGAGTTTTCTATAGCGTTAAGAAACCAGCCATAGAAAATGTTAAGGATTTTCTCCTTTTTTGCTGATAACTTTTCCCCTGGGTCATATTTCGAAAATCGCCGCTCTAGTTCGATAAAGCAAAAAATTCCACACAATTTCGTAAAAAAACTTTTATATCATGAAGTGTTGGAAGCGTTTTCTATAGCTTTTAAAGCTCGTGCACGCTCTGAACGGCCGTGAGCCGTACTTCCGCGAATTTCAAGAAGAATTTATTTTTTTCGCACACTGGTCAAATATTTTGTTTTGACTCTCACGAAACGTCCGCGTAACACTTTTCCTGCCGCTGGTTCGTCATTTGGCAACATTCGTTGTCGACCGGGCGGCCAGTATACGACTGGCTATTTGGTGTCCAGCGGGTAGTTCCCAGAGCACTAGAGAGAGCCAGACGGGCAGAGAGGCAAGAAAATTAGAGCCAGCAACGTTTCGGACTATCCAAAAAGGGAAGCAAACAAACCGTTGGGCCCCCCGGTCGGACGACGTGGATTGGCCATTGCAAATCATCATTTCGTTTCGATCGTGGAATTGAGCCCCGGCTATATAGTTTTGGCCACGATTCTATACTTTTCCTACGTAGAATTTCTTTAGATTATTTATTTATCTTTTTAAACATTCAAAGAAATTTCGAAATCTGTCGTTATTTCTTGCCTGTTTAAAATTCGCGTTTTTTTAAAACCCGTTGTACAAATTTTGAAACCTATCCTGCCCGGTTTTTGCCAGAATTTGATGATTTGCGCATTAAAGAACGGATTTGAGGCTGAAACTTGCATTATCTTGATATTTCCTCCTACCTTCAGTTCCAAAAATGTAAGCAAAACCTTTTTTTTCAGGGAATGGCCAAAGCGGCCTCGGCGAAGGCAGCTTCAGCCCAACGCTCCAAACAGAAAGGAGCAAAAGGCCGCGGCGGGCTGACGTTCGTCCTATGGTTTCTCGGCGGAATCGCGGCGCTGGTCGGTGTACTATGGTTGTTGCCCGAAAAACAACCCGGAGAAGGTGGCGTGCCGACACGCGTCGATCGAAACCGCTTGTCCGCTGCCGAGGCCCAGAAATACGACCAAGGCTACAAGGACCATGCTTTCAACGAGTACGTGTCGAGCCTGATTTCGCTACATCGCCGGCTGCCCTTCATCGCGCCGCCCAGGTGCAAGGACGAGAAATACGCGGATGACCTGCCGGATATGTCGATCGTCATCTGTTTCCACAACGAGGCCTGGTCGACGCTGCTCCGAACTGTGCACTCGGTTCTCGACCGCACCCCGGCGCATCTCCTGAAGGAAATTATTCTGGTTGATGATTCGTCGACGATGGAGCATCTGGGACCGGAACTGGATAGTTATGTCAGCGGTCTCGCGAAAGTTCGACTCGTCCGCGAGCCGCACCGCGTCGGGCTGATCCGAGCTCGTCTCACGGGAGTCAAGGTCGCACTGGGAACTGTCGTTACCTTTTTGGACGCGCATTGTGAGGCTACGGAAAGATGGGCCGAGCCACTACTTGATCGGATTGCCCAGGACCCGCACTCTGTCGCTGTCCCCAACATCGACCCGATCCAGGAAGACACTTTCCAATATGTCGCCGAGCTGTCCCCGTTGATCGGCGGATTCGATTGGAATATGCAGTTCGTTTGGAGGGATCTGTCGCCGGAGCAAAAGCGGAAGCGCAAGAACAATTTGGAGCCGATCCGCACCCCCGTGATGGCCGGTGGATTGTTTGCGATTAGGAAGGACTTCTTTGAGCATCTCGGCTCCTATGATCCCGGCTTCGACATTTGGGGCGGCGAGCAGTTCGAGCTCAGCTTCAAGGCATGGATGTGCGGAGGGAGAATCGAAATTGTCCCGTGCAGTCATGTGGGCCACGTCTATCGCCAGAGCACGCCCTATACATTCAACGACCCGATCAACACCATCAGGCGAAATCTGCGTCGTGTAACCGAGGTCTGGATGGATGATTACAAGTACCTGCACTACGAGCGTCACAATAATAGGACGTATGGCCATGGCGATGTATCTGCCCGGCTTGAACTTCGCAAAAACCTTGGCTGCAACGATTTCAAGTGGTACCTGGAGCATGTCTACCCAGACCAATACGTCCCTCACAACCTCCAGGCCAAGGGTGAGATCCGGAATTACGGTGGTGAGCCTCACCTTTGCGTCGAGAGCATCATCCGTGGTAGCCGCGAGCCGGATTACGAAGTCGTCCCTGTCCACTGCCATCTGCTCGGGGAGAATCAGTTCTTTGAATTGACCGCCAACGGCGAGATCCGGCGTGACGTCAGCTGCCTCGAGCAGGTGGGCAACGTCCTGCGCGCCCGCTTCTGCGACGGGCGGAGCACGCAAAAGTTTACGCACGATCGCGAGAATGGGCATCTGAAGAACGAGGGTAGTGGCCAGTGCCTGACGACGATCATCCGTCCCGACGGCCATCTTTTCCGGATGGAAACATGCCGTGCCGGTGACCTCATCCAGCACTTCAAATGGCAGCAATATTTTTGAATTGATTGATTAAAGGGTGCATTAATGTGATAGGTTGCAGTGAAATTTCATCCCATTTCGTTCTTCCCAAAAATTGTGATCTTTATGATAACTTTGCTTTAGTCTTGCAAAACTGCCCGTGATTTTTCTAAAAACATTTTGAACCTAACTATTCTATTCAGTTCGCGACCGATTGTTACTGTGATATCATCCCTTTACAACCAAAGTACGCTTTCATAATTGCCTTTTTTAAAGCTATCGGGTGGGTGTTAATATTTCGCTTATTATATCGCTGGCTGTGATCATGCATTTCCAGGGCTCTCTCTTTTCTAAGCAATATCAATCTTGTTTTCGGGTTTTCTCTATTGGATTAGGGTTGTGCGTTTCAATAATAAATTTTTTAGGGCGATGGCCCTTTTGGAGCTGGCCAGACTGCAGCAGCCATACGAAGCCGCGGTCAACGCCAAAATCAGCAGTCATCGCGTGGTTGTGGAGGGCAAATACACGGTTGGGGATTTTAAGACGGTCTTTTTAATTTATAAAAAGTTTATATCATTATAATATACAGCTTTTACTGATCGTAAATCACAAAAATTAGAGTTTTTACTTTTAATTAGCTAGAAACAACGCCAATCTCTCAATTTAGCTATACACGGTCCAAGTAACCGTCGACACCTATGCGTGGACGGTGGAGCGGCGGTATAAGGATTTTGATATCCTTGATCAGCAACGGTTCCCCGATCGAAGCCAGTCGTTTTTGCCGCCGAAGAAGGTTGTGGGAAATTTGGTGGGTGTTGAACCAAAGGCTTCACAATTTACTGAAGCGACAAAGCCAACCACGCGATTTCAGGACCTCGAATTCATCAATGAGCGCAAGTCGGAGCTGAACAAATACATGGCGGCCCTGTTGGCAAAAGAGGTGGGTGTAATACTGTCAAAAGCTTTTTATCTAAACCTTGAAATTAGGCCTTTTTTCAGATTGAGCATCAAAAACAGATGGGTGCCAATTCCTTTTCGATGCCCGTCGCTCGTTTCTTCGACTTTCACGAATACGTAAGTCAATTCGTACTGAATTTAACGCGGTGAACTTTACAATTTATTCATTCACAAATGCAGAGGGAAAATAGGTTTTCAAAATTGGCAGCTGAGTTTCGTTTATTCGGAGAATCTCGCCGAGCGGGGGCAGTTTCAAAGTGGGAAGAAGTGACTTGGCGGGGGCTGGTTTTGGAATGGGACAAGTATCATAATGATCATAGGATAAAAATAAGGGGTGAATATGTCTTTTTTGCTTTTTTTTGCGCGTAAATTTATGCGTCTTCTTCGTTGTGGCCGACCTGGGCGGTGAGTTCACCGCGGGAGCCGACGGCTCGCCGTTTTTGGCGCCAGTACTGCAGACGGGTCCACACCTGCAAGCGATGTTTGGGTTATTAGTTTCATTTTAATCGTAATATTAAAAAAATAAATAGTAGGTTAGTGTTTACCTCGCGAATGGCCAAATAGATCATGGCGACGTTCTTGGCGGCGAACAGGCTGGCGTCGTAGCGCTTGCCGCGGCCCTCGACTTCAAGGAGGTAGTAGAGGTAGATGCGCATTCCAAGGAATGGGCCGTTTACCTTGAGAAATATTAGTTTTTCTTGTTTTCGATTGGGAAAATAGGTCTTTAGAGAATAAATTTCATGATTTTATCAATTTCATAGGTTTTTCACAAAGAACCTCTGCTCGCTTGCCCCAGTTCCGCGTTTTAGATAATTGCAGTATTTTTTTGGCTAAATAGTATCTTTTTTGCGAAAGACTAGGCTGATTTTACGAGGGGTTTAAGAAGGTATTTTAGTAACGTTTCTCAATTTCCTGGTTTTCCCCCCAAAGGATCCATGCTAGTTTGCCAGCGTTCCGTTTTTTGGGATGAACGCAGTCAAATTGATCTGGATTTTTCCATTTTCCTTCAGATTTCCGGCAAAAAATCGCCGTTTAGCCTTTTTTGGCTGATCGCAATAACAATTTTTTAATTTCCCTTTTCTTCCCAAAGAATCCCCGCTAGTTTGCCACCTTCCGGATTTCCTTAGAAGTTCTAACGACTCACCAGGAGCACGTAGAACAGGGCCCACACTTTCTCGCTGATCATCAGGGTGCGGGGGACACGGCTGAAGCGCAGCTTGAACAGGGCGAACGTGGGCAGGATGAAGTTGACGGCGGCGAGGGCGAGGATCGAGATCTCGAGGCACAGGTGCAGCTCCCAGTGGTCTTTCAGGGACTAAATCTTGGGAATAAAAATTCATGTTTTTCATTATCTAAAATCGTCTTTTCGAAAATCACTTTTTGGAAACTGACTTTTTTCGCGAAGTTTAGAATGTAATGTAACAAGAACAACTATCGCAAAAATTCTAAAATCTGTTGAAAAATTCGAAATTTTGGTGTAACATCGGAAATGTTTGGTCGAAAAATCGATATTTCTCTATTTTCAATACAAACCTGTAAATTTTTACGCTTACTTGTTAGTTAGGGATGGTTAAAAATAGTGAAAAACAATTCCGCTATTTATATTAGAAAAACTGAAGCCTAAAAAAAGGTGCCCCCCGATAATGCGTAAGATCCACTTCTTGAAATTAACTTCCGCACCTGCCACAGCAGATCCAAGAAATAGATCGTGTCGGTGAGGTCGAGACAAACGGCCGTTGTCAAGTAGGTGATGTACAGCTGGCGTTGGCTCATGAGCGGGGTGTAGTGGTGGGCCTCGAGGAGGAACAGGAAGATCAGCACTAAAGTGCGGGGTTTTTTGAGGTTGACCTCATGCTCAAACCCGATAGCGAGAGTCCCAACTTGAAGAGGTGGTCGTCGAATAGTTTATCATTGTTGTCCAGACCGGCGGCGGGCAGCTAAAATGAGGTTTTTTTTTGGATGTTGGCCCGAAAAAATGCTATATCTCGACGTGAGAAAATCGGACCGTAATAATCTTTATACCATTCGAAAGCCCGGAAAATGAAGAATTTAATAGAATTTAAAGATTTCCATGTTAAGTTAACTATTGGATTTTGGGACGAATTTTGTAATGTTTGATTTTTTTAAACTAGCAATATTTTTCGAAACTTCCGGTCGGTATAAAACCAACGCTGAGCTCCGCATTGCAACCCATACCTTATCGTGGAAGACTCGAAAGCAAACGGAAATCTTTGCCACCAGCACACACGAGTAGGTCAGCCACCCGATCCACGCGTACTTCACCTTGCTGTCTAAAGGGGTGGTTTGTAGTTGTAGCAGGGTTTTCGCCTCTCTCTCTCTCCTCCTCCTCCTCCTCCTCTCTCTCTCTCTCTCTCTCTCTCTCTCTCTCTCTCTCTCGCTCGCTCTCTCTGAAAACTGACCAATACTGCCCATCTCATCCATTTGCTCCTGGTTGTGGCGGATGGCCAACACCAGCAGCCACACCATCACCACCAAGACGGCCGCGTCGGCCACGAACCAGCCGTACCATGCCTAAAATGGCATTAAAACATTTCTGGTGTCCTCGACGGTCTCTGCTAGCCCTCCTCAATGGTCTATGCTAGTCTTACTAAGTTTGTCCTGGCAATTTAGAGGAGTTCGACCTCCAATAGCCTCGACAAATCAAGAGAACGGTTTCCCGATTTTAGAATTTTCTTGGAATACCCTGTATTTCTGCACGTTCCACCTACCTTATCCTCAAGGTTCGTCAGATAATAGTAGTCGAGGAGCCCGAGCTGGACGATGATCAGCGAGATGCAGATCAAGAAGGAGAAGACGTCCAAGCAACCGCGCACACAGCGCCCTGGATCACGGAAGGTTGGATCTAGTATGAGACGCTCCGATACCCGGTACGACGGCCATATTTCGGTAGTCGGCGTAGGCGGGCGGCTTCTCGTCGGAGGCTAAGACAAGGGCCCGCTCTTCGACAGGCTTTTCCACCGGAAACTCGTCGGCTCCTTCGTAGTACTCTGAACGGAATGTTTTCGATTTTCATTGCGTAATGTATCCCCGGCCCCCGCCACATATCATTTTGTCGATCATTTTGTCGAAACTTCAATTTGTTGACATTTCAAGCCGTCTTTCGCCTCGATTATTTATCTCAGTTATTTCGCAAATTGAAATGTCGAAAAATGAAATTTCGACAAGCTGAATTTCGACAAACTGATGGCAAATCGATTGAAGTACGAACCGGCGTAGGGGATGCTCTCCTCGCCGTTCTCTTCCACACAGTCCTCCGGGATATGTCGCGGATCTCGGCCAGAGGACGGCAGTGTGCTTGTTTCTGAAAAGGAATTAGGTTTTGGGCGCTTTTCGCACTAAAACTCTGGTTTAAAACGCTGGTGTCATTAGGAAAGCTGCGGAATTTTCGAAAACTGACCAGAAACTATCGGTTAGTGTCCAATTCACGGTCTAGTCGAGGGGGGAAGATGCGCGAAAAGTGCGCGGAAAAGTTGGGTAATGCGCTTACTACCCGGCAGCCCCAATCCATGTTTCCGGTGGGGCCTTTTTGCCCCTGTTTCGCGTCTCGACTGGCCGTGCCTCATCGCCGGTAAACATTTCGGGAAGCACGAAAATTCCGGGGGAAACCGAGGGAATGGATCGTCCAGGGAATGGCGTCAGCGAAGGCTTTTCAAGAGGGCCAGTTAGCAGAGTTTATTGGGGGGAATTTCGGGGTTTTTGTCGGTGTTTTGAACGGCCTTATTTTTCATTGATTAGGAAAGCTTTGAGACGAGCAGCTTTTTGGGGAATACCTCGAAATTCCGACAACCAAAATGCGCGAAGTCAGAATCCCGACAGCCAAAATGCCGACATCCAAACACCCGACAGCCAAAATGCCGACATTCGAAAATAACAATTACAAGGAATTCGCATTAAAACCACCACCAAGAATTTGTCGGGATCTTATGGCTCTCGGAATTTTGGCTCTTTGGTTGTCGACATTTTAGGTTGTCGGGATTATGGCAGAAATTCAGATTTTTAGAGAATTCAAAAAAACGGATTATACATCAAAAACCATCCAAGAAAAATCGAGAAAAATAGAAAACCGCGCGGCAATCGAGCAGAGACTAATAGGGATTTTTAATTCGACGATTGGATTTAATTGGCAAATTTGTCGCAGAATCGTAGGCAAACTAGCAGAGATCCTTTGGGAGGAATTGGAAAGATATTTGTGAGCTTAGGAAGAGTAGAAGACCCTTAGATTCACCCGGCTCACTTTCCCCACCAACAAAAATAGCCAAATCCGCGTGGACCGGAACCGAGCCGCGGGGGGATAAAGTAAATCTCGTTAGGGGGATGCCCAAGTCCGAAGAGGGGGCAGAGAAAAAGAGGAGAACTCGTTCGTCAACCCGTTTTGCGGGTTTTTGAGAAGAAGTGGGAGAGTTAGCTGAATCAGAGCTAGAGAGAGTGAGATAGAGAGAGAGAGAGCGAGAGAGCGAGAGAAAGAGAGAGAGAGAGGGAGAGAGAGAGAGAGAGATCGAAATCCCAACACAAAATGTTAATAGACGTCTCTCGTTGTATATTAGTTTGGAAGTGGAACGGCTTGCGGCTCTGACCAAGTGGATGAAGAGGACACGGGGGGGGGTTGTTGCGTGGGGTTGAAGAGTGTTTGTTCGCCCCGAAGGGCACATTTGCACCATTTGTCGAGAACAGCAGGCCGCAACGCGCTAATAGTGAAAGAATTCAGGGCATGGAGACGCTTTTAAAGCTCTTGATCACAAAACTTGGATCTTGGCACTCAAAAGCTAAACACGAAACCGGCGATCTGGATAGTCAGCCCGTCGAAAAAAGCCTTAAGTTAGGCACCGTTTAGAAAACCAGAAAGGGTTACTTTTGGCGCATTTTGCTGGATAGGATCAGCCATTAGTTTTTCTAAAGGGACAAGAAAGTGGATAATCGACCCCTTTCCAGCGCTAGGTCTCGACAGTTAGCGTGCCAACGTGCTTGAAAATTTTTTGCATTCAGAAAATTCGTCGTTAGGACTTCGGTGCCAAGGAATGCGGTCTTATGAAAATTCGACACTGAGCGGCAGAGCCAAATTTGCATAATTGGCCATACAGAAATACTAGATTGAATAAAAAACCGAAATTTAGCCCATCGAAATTACTTGTGTCCAAATTCGTCGGTCTAAACGTCGCGAAGCGGTTTTTCCACCCTCGCTAGGGGCAAAAGTTTCCCACAGGCTCATCATCTGGACAAACAAAAGGGTGGGCGGGTGGGGGGGGGGGGGGTCTCGTGGCGACAATGTGGCTATTGCCAGAAGGCCCCAGGCAAGGAGGAGGGGGGATGGGTTGCCGTGGGGTCAAATATTTGGCATTCAGATCAGGAAATTGGAGCCAGGCGGACGGGGGGGCATAAAATTTGGGGGCACTGCTCCTTCTTGAGAAACTTTGCGGTAGGTAAGCTAGGTTAGGCTTAGGCTTAGGCTTAGGCTTAGACTTAGGCTTAGGCTTAGGCTTAGGCTTCTTCTAAAGCCAAAGACGACTCTTACCTGGTTCCTGTGATGTCATAGAGACATCCAAAAAGACGACAGGATCGTTAGGGAGTCGTGCTCGGGTGTTGGCAGATGGGTACCCCGGTTGTGGTGGTGGTGGGGTGGCTGTATTGATGGGTGGCCAATTTGGGGCCTTGGGAGGATGCAGAGGATGCACCATAGGCCCTCGGGAGGAGCCCGAGCCAGGGGTCACGCCCCCACCACCGCCACCACAATACACCACAATCTGGCACCCTGCCAGGGAGAGATGGAGAGAGAGAGAGAGAAAGAGAGAGAGCGAGACAGGCCACTTGCGCACCACTTCCGCCCGCCGGTAGAATCACCCAAACCACCCGAAATTCAGCACGTCTCCCCTAATCCGGTGCTTTTGCATTATCGGGGGGGGGGGATGTAAGTTGAAAAATTTCTAGCAACGCAATAGTGTTTGTGACAGCGTTTTAGTATAAGTAAGCAGTTTTGAAGTGGAAAAACCATACAAAAAATCTTGAAAATGCAACATTTTGTTTAAAAATCCGCCATTTTTAGCGAAAAAACCGATTACTTTTTTAAACAGAATTGGTATCATTTTGTGCGTTTCTGAATAGTAAAATAGTTCAAAAACACTTCCCTGTACCTTTACAGAAAAATTGGAGACAAAGAAAAAAGTCGATTCCCCCTGATACCCCCCGATATGGCGAAAGGACCAAAATTGCCAGGACGGGGTTGATTTTTCATTTTCTGGTACCTTTAAAGGACCCGTGAAGTAAAACTATGGGTTTTTCGCTTTTCTCCTAAATTCGGTTGGATTTTGACTTGGTAATGTGATGCTCGACCTAAACGTGGGCCAAACTCCTTTCCCAATTCGTGCCCTGGGCCCTAAGCTTGACCAGATGAGGCCAATCGCGCTGCCCTTGGGGATTAGCCGAGTTTATAGCCAAGGAGGAGTCTATGCAAAAATACTTCTAGGTGTGGGGAGGTTAGCAAAGACGCTTTGGGGAAGCGATCCGAGGTGTCTTGTTGACAGGCATTGTTATGTTGTGTATGTGTTCTCACGGGGGAAGTGGAGACGCAAATTGAGGATGAGAGAGCGAGAGAGAGAGAGAGGGAGAGAGAGAGACATAGCAGTATGGATGCGCTAGTAGGTAGGGCATGTTTGGGGGTGGCTCGAATTTCACTCCCCGGCTACCGGTACCCTCGACCGAATTCGGGCCGGTCCATCAGGTGTAAGGGAGGCTGTGTACGCTCGAATACTCTTGACGGAAAATAGGGGATCGGCACGGAATTCGTGTGTCCGGAAAAGTGGTTTTTGTGTATTTTCAAGGTATGGAAACGATAGATACCAGATCGTCGCGGGAGCCCGAATAAAAAAATTGGCGTACGAGCAGTCACGATTTAGGATACGGTTTAAAGGGATAGAGACGGGGGTGACGACGAGTTTTGACGCGAGTGAGAGAGATAGCGAGAGAGAGAGCGAGAGAGAGAGCGAGAGAGAGAGATAAAGAAAGAGATACATAGAGAGCGAGAGATATCTCACTAAAGCGCGATCCATAGACAGTGACGGATCACCAGTATTTGAAGCTGTTTGCGTAGCTGGGAGGTGCGTAGATGAGGTTGAGGAGGGCGGCCATCCAGTAGTGGTTGTGGTTGTGGTCTAGAACCCAGGCTTGAGGGAGGGGGCAATGGCTTGCGTGGACGAATGCACAAACATGCGCCATCTGCACCATCCCACACAACGGCCACACACACACACTTTGCCACATTATCCCCATCCACCCGGGGGTCGAGGCGGATGGGGGGGCAACGTTGCGGGAATCGAGAAGTGGGAGGGCCCGGGCCCGGTTTCTGTGTGGGACCCATCTATGCAAATTGAGTGCATGGTTCAGCAAGGCATCGGATTTCATACGCAAAATTCCACAAAAATCTCTGCTGGCATGCCTCAACTTCCAACTTACGACTTCCACCCACCTTTAACGGGCCTAGAAATCCCAAAATTCCACCCGAATCTCTGCTAGTATGCCCTTTAAGATGCCAGAAAACGCCAAAATCGACCCCTGTCGTGGCCTGGGTCTCGACAGCTACGCCACTCGCCAAAAATTCTGGGCATAAACTTCAAAATTCGCCGTTGCGCCGTGGTGCCGTGTCGCACAGCTGTCGAGACCTAGGCGCCAAAAGGGGAAGATTCACACGCTTGTCAGCCCCTTTAAAGGGCCGAGAAAGTCAGAATCTACATGTTTAAGATCCGGGGATAAGCGTTTTTAGACGTGACGAGTTGCTGTCAAGACCCTAGTTACCAGACGAGGGGTAGATTTCCGCACTTGCCAGTCCCTTTAAAAGTCCGCTACGCGCCGTACACAACCCTACATGCTAAACCAGGTTTTCCGGAATGCTACTAGCAACGTACGCAGGTACAAGAAAGAGAGGATCAGATAAGGCGGCGGGTCGAGTACCCAAGTGGGCCATCTCCAGAAGGGGGCCCACTCCCGTTTCTATTCCCCAAGGGCCCTAAAACCGGGGTCTTCTCATCAGCCCCCTCTGGCCATAGCCCCGTTCCCTCGTTCCGGGAAGATAACCCCGCCCGGACGAGGAGGTAATTTGTAGGCCGCACGCGTGTGTCCGGAGTATGGCTTTGGAATTTTGGGGGTAAGTTGTAGGGGTTTAAAGGGACGGGCAAGGCATGGTTATGGATTTTTCACCTATTTCCCCAAACGTCCAACAACCACCTTACTAGCTGCCTAGCCCCTTGTAAGATAAGAAAGAACTTGCCGAGACCCATATGTGGCCCGGGCCCCATTCTCCCGAGCGCTGGGCACGACTTTTACGAGCTCGTGACGAATGGGGCAACTAAAAATACCTTGCCCTCCTCGGGCCCAACAACGGAAACCGGACATTTCTCTTTGCAAAATTGGGCTGGACTTGGGCAAAGTGCGATACGCAACGCGCGCGCACGGAATTCCATTGCGTAATCGGGTTAAGCCGTTGACTGGAGCAGCCCACGCGTTGCGTGTCGCGGGCTGTCGGGGTTATGGCTTGAATTCCGCGATTAGTTCAGGTCAGCGCTTCCGTAGCAATACAGACGCCAAAAAAAATTCTAAAAGCTAAATCCGGCTCCGAAATCGAGGTAGCTACAGTGAAAATGCTGAATCGGAGGGCGACGAACGCTTGGCCCTGACGGGCGCGCCATTCTGGTTGACCAGCGCCGAGGTCAGCTGGGAGAGACGGGCAGAAGATAATTGCCGGATGGGATGGCACCCCAGTCCCCCTCGGCTGGCGGTGCTCATCCAGCCCTTTCGTTGGGGGGTGCCAATATTTATGAAGGGGTTTGTCGTCTGGGACCATCCGGGGGTATGGCCAATTGCTGCATATTGTTCTGGGGCATAGCATAGAAATAGGGGACCAGGGCTGCGGCTTTTAAAGGAGTAGAGAAAGCTGGCATCAAACCTTCCCGGTAAAGGTGCTGTAGGGCGGGGGGGGGTATCAAGGGGAAAATCAAGTCCGACAGGTCTTCGACGATGCTGTGGTTTTCTTGAAAATACAGTTGTAAATAAGTTATAGTTTCCCCGCTGCCAAACACCCCCCCCCCCCACCGCTAACAGCCCAGAACCAGGCCTTGCACGCAGGGACGTAGCCAGAAAAAAATTTCGGGGGCCCGAAAATTTTTTGCGAACAACTTAAAAAATTCACGAGAAAACAGCGAAAAATTTCGGGAAAAGAGGCAACATAGCTCTACAAATAGCAGCAAAATTTTTGAGAAAATAAAAATCATAAGGGTCCCCCCTTATGAAATTTTTGGGCCCCGGCCGATTTCAGGGGGGCGGGCCCAGGGGGCCCACCTTACGCTACGTCCCTGCTTGCACGGGATAGATTGAAATTGCCTGAAATGAACCAAAAAAGTTGCAATTTTCAAATTTTCCCAATCAAATATTTTAATATTTCCGGGCAATCTAAGACCACCACAAAAAAATCGCTTGCTTTCCCGCGCAAAACGTGATGCACCCTAAATTTTCATGCCTAGCTATCTTCCGTTTGGCTTCTCGCAACGCTCGGGCAGCCAGTCGCCAGAGCTCTTCATTATGACCCAATTCTTCTCCAGTCACTGACCCCCGGCCGCCGTCGGGTCATGCAATATCCCCCGGGGGTTCAAGTGGGTTGGGCTGCAGAACCGGGGGCTTTTAATTGGAGTCGCGCGCCGTCCATGGGATTGGCGCGTAGCCATGGGGGTTGCTGCTGCCAGCTCCTCGTACAATTGCCAAAACGCCCTCCCCCCACCATCCACAGCCCAACCTCCGCCCCCATTAGTGGGACCTCCGCTGGTAAACAACGGGGCGGCGGAAATGGGTGCCATCTGTATAATATCGTCATTAGGTAGTGCGTGGTTGATGAATGGAGGGGGAGGCAGGTAACCCGGGGTTACATCTACCCGCCATGAGCCTCTAGGGAGGATTAGCCCAGGTGTCAAGGTTGACCCGGGGGATCAGCGGTAGGGTTGGGGGATACTGTTTCGTGGGAGCTGGAGATGGCAGAGAGGCCAGAGATACAGCCATGTGCGCATTAATGATATGTCGGCCCCGAATAGTCCTAAAAAGTTTCCCAAAACCGCAAAAATTCCGATTAATTGTGTAAAATCAGATTCTAGGTATCAAAAGTCCGTATTTTCAGGAAATTCACAGCATCGTCGACGACCTGTCGGCCCGGCTCGGCCAGCTCGGCGACGAGTGGCTGGAGGCGAGCGAGACCCGGCCCCGCTACTTCGAGTTCACCCCCATCGAGCTGCACGCCGTCACGCGCCGTCTGCAGCTCGCCGAGCCGACGGCATCCGGTTGGACTAGCGCCGCGTACTATCGCACCCCCGAGGGGCAGGGTATCGGCTAGGAGATCGGGAGAGGGGATATGTGAAATTTTGAATAGCTTGAAGTTTTGTAAGGTCTAGAGAAAGGGAAAATGCAACGAGCGCATCGCCTAAAAGCGTAGAGGGTAGCTTGTCGTAGTTCAGTTTCGAAAAACCCCGTTTCTTACAATTTTCGGGCGTGCTACTATCCCTTTTTAATCGTTAAAATACCACTAGTTCTGTCGAAAAACGCTTACCTTTCATTCCAGCCAACCTGCTCGTCGTCGATCTGGCCAGTACCGTCGATTTTCTATCGAGAGTGAAAAACTTAAAGGTAAATTTTGATTTAACGAAAGAGCAGGGTGAAATGACGTAAAAAAATACAAAAAAAAAGACTTTTTCCTCCTAATTTTTGTGCAAGAAAAAGAGTAGGAACGCTAAAACGTGCTTTTTTCACAGATTCGCGGCTCGCGAGGCTACGTCCGTTCGTCGAACATCCTCTGCAATTCATTGGAGATGAGCCTCCATTTCTGCAAAAGCCTGTTGGCGCTTTGGGTGAGTGTTCAAGCGGAAATGGCATGTGATTCTCGGACTTTTCTAGATAGCAGACTACGACGTTCGACAAATCGAGGGGTTGGCGCAGTTGAGGCGCACCCTACGCCGACTCGTCGTCCACTACTCGATGCGAAATGTTAAGGTATCACCTACGAATATTTTAGTTTATTCTCCAGGCACTAATGTAAAAAATATAGGGTGCTTTTGCATTATCGGGGGGGGGCGTGTATCAAATCAATTTAAAGTTTTTACGTTTAAGAATAGCAGAAAAAAACAGTTTAAACAGACTTCCTCGATTTCTATAAGAACAATTGGATACTAATAAAAACACTGTTCCCCCCGATAATGCGCGAGCGCCGAAATAGACAGATTTTAGCCGTATTTTAGTAAAATGTAACTATATTTCAAGTAATAATAGCTTCTCAACAATTAGATTCGAAATTTTGGTCAAAACTTCGATATTTTTTATATTTTTCTGTATTTTAAATTAAAATGTTGTTTTCCCCTGTTATCCCCCCCCCACGGTAATGCCAAAGAACCGGCGAAAAACGATCCATTTGGTCGTTTTAATCGTTTTATCGTTTTATAGGAGAAATTTGGGGTTACCGAAAATCCCACTTCCCCCCAAATTGCACAGTACCATTTCTTTTCCATTCCAGGACCTGTTTGGCGTCTCCGATTTGGAGCTCGAACCGGATAGCAGACCGTGGCCCGTGCTCGAAGACGTCGATCTCTCCTTCAACCAGCTCGACTCCATTGACGATTCCATTGTGCGGGTTCATTTCCATTTCCATTTCGTTGGCCTTCGAAATCCTCCCTCCATCCCATCTTCTTTGCCCCATTTTAGCCCTGGGGCCCAAAATTGGGCCATTGCGCCGCATAATTCGTTTAGTCTCCTCCTCCTCCTCCTCATCCTCGTGCTCCCGGGGCTACAAACACGACGATGGGGAAGGGGGGGGGGGGGTGAATTGTAATTTTCAGCTGGGGGTAGGGAAAAGCGAAAAATGGAGCTTATGGGAAACTAACAGTACAAAAATTTACTAGTGCTAAAATGCAACAAACGCACTGAGTAAAAGTGTACGGAGTAGCTGCAGGTAGTTGGTATTTTAATGGTGGTTTTACAAAAAAATAAGCCCTATTAAGTGCAAATACAGGGTGTCCCAAAAAAAAGACCCCCCCAAAAATTTGAGCCAGAGGGGACCTATGGAGCTGAAAATTTGCACAGAGGTAGCGAAGCCAATTTTCTATGAACAAGGAAAGTTTCAGCCAGATCGGCCAGCGGGTTTTAAAGTTATAGCGAAAATACTTTTCATTTTCAATTTAATATGGGGATCTTTGAAATTTGCATCAAAGATATGCGTTATTCTTGCATTTACGAGCCGATTTTGCATAAATTTCGCTGAAAAGTGCCATTTTCTTGATGGGGCTTTGGAAAACGATTGCTCATGTAGCGAGAAAATGATCAGCAAGAACGATGAATACCACCCCCTCATGGCGGAAACTATCGTTGAACGCCTGAGCTTCGCTTAAACTTCAGCGTGCGTGCCAACATAAGCCCAAATCTAAACTTCATCACTGTTTTCGAGCTCGTCGAACTCTGTTTTCGGGCCGACGAAGCTCAAATTGCCAAAATGTACAATAAGACGTGATTTGAATCGATAAAACAGTTGTTTTAACACTCTTTCTATTTTTCATACGCAATCGTTTTCCAAAAGCTCCATCAAGAAAATGGCACTTTTCAGCGAAATTTATGCAAAAACGGCTCGTAAATGCAAGAATAACGCATATCTTTGATGCAAATTTCAAAGATCCCCATATTAAATTAAAAATGAAAAGGATTTTCGCTATAACTTTAAAACCCGCTGGTCGATCGGGCTGAAACTTTCCTTGTTCATAGAAAATTGGCTTCGCTACCTCTGTGCAAATTTTCAGCTCCGTAGGTCCCCTCTGGCTCAAATTTTTGGGGGGGTCTTTTTTTTGGGACACCCTGTATACACGTTAGAAAAGTTAGAAAAGATTTAAAATATTAAAATTGGTCGAAAATCAAAATATTGGTATTTTTATTACAATTTGTAACGTTTTTCCGTTCTTTATTTATATTGAGAAAATCAGCCCCTAAGGGAAAAATCTCCCCCCCCTCCCCCGATAATGGACAAGTACCTTTTAACAAATACATTTGACATTTCAGACTACGCTAAAATCCGTGACGACGCTCAACTTGTCGCAGAACCGGTTGGCCGACATTGGCCCGAATCTGCAGCATATGCCGGCATTACGGCGCCTCGATCTTTCGAAAAATATTCTAGGTACGGTAACCCGGTTTTTTAATATTGTTATGTATTTTTATGGTATTTATTACTATTATTAATCTCTATTTTACATCCTTCCAGACTCCGTAAGCGGCTGGGCGCAGCTTTTGGGCAACATTACAACGCTGAACATCGCCGGAAACCAAATTCCTAGCTTGGAAGGGCTGGCGAAGCTGTACTCCCTGGAGGTGCTCGACGCGAGCGAGAATCAGCTGGACACGGTCGAGTCGGCGATCCACGTCGGGCGGTTGCCCTGCTTGGAGACGCTGATCTTACGGTAGGGCCTGGAATTACAAAAAAATCATAAATTTCAGGGGTAACCCGGTAAGGAAAACGGTCGAATATCGAACGCGAATTCTGGAGGCTTTCGAGGAACGGGCCGCTGAGGTGAGCACGAAATAAAAGGTTCTTTCGCGTTATCGGGGGGGGTTAGTACCGAATTACGCTAAGTAAATAAAAAGCTGTTTCTACACTGTGTTTTTACGACTAGTATACGAAAAAATTTACAATTTTTATTTAAAAATTACAAAAAAAACGATTTTCGACCAAAATTAGAAATATAAAGTTTTTTAACTGATTTCCGCGTGAAATATAGGTAAATTTCGCTAAAACATTATTAACACACCTACTACCGTTCCAAAACATCGAAAATATACCGAAACTCGATCAGATTTGACTACTTTTTATCTCAGAAAATGTAGAATTGATTGCTAAATCGCTGAAAATTGCTGAAATCCATTCTCTTAGCATTTTTATGCGTTTTTCAACGATCTATCGAACTGCATTTTCAAAATATCGAAAATACAAAAAACTACCATTTGCAAAAGCCGACCATTAATTAAAGTGTTACAAATATTCAGTACCCCAAATTACATTATGCTTATTCTTGTTTTAACCAATTCACCTGCCACTTCAGATTACACTCGACAGCCGACGCGCGAACGAACGCGAACGCGACACGATTGCCGTTCGGCTGGCCCTGCGCCGGTCCCGCGAAGAAAAGGAAAGAGCTGAGCTCGCCCGCAAGGAGAAAATCGAACGTTCCGTCCGGTGGGTGCCGATAAGAACGAAAAAAACCCGAAAAACCGCGACCCCCCGGGAAAAATAAGGAAAAATGTTGCCGAAAATATGCTCGAATCTAGTTTAGTTACGGGAATCGGTTCTTGAGCAGTATCGGGGGGGGGGGGCTTGTTCCTTTCAAAAGTCCAGTAATGTTTAGCAATGTAATAGCAAGGATTTTAATCGTCTTTTTAGTAAAATTTAACTATATTAAGTAGAGAAACCTATCTAAAAAATTTAGAAAAGTTGTAAACTTTAAAATCAAACGGAAAAAAACGTTTAATGAAAAATCGGCCCTTTTGGCACTGAAGGCGATATTTTTTTTGTACATCTCAATAGACGATGTAGTTTTTCGTTTGGAAATGGTAAGTGGAAACACCCTATTTTTTTAAAAATTCGGTTCTAAGAAAGAAAGATCCGAAGCTAAGCCCAAGCCTAAGCCCAAAAGCGCAAGTCTAAGTCTAAGCCTAACAAGGAGACGTTTTTTGGTGTGAATGGAGTTCTGAGTGGAAACCAGGCTTATTTTGTGCAGAATTTTGCGCTGATTCCGAATATGTTTTCCATTTCTGCTAAATAGCTCGATTTCAAAAGTTATAGCAATTTTAAGGTCATTTTAGCCCAAATTTTCCCCTCTTTAGGGACCATTTTATTGCTTTTCCCGGTTGATTTTGCAAAAATAAATATGGCCATCGTATTCAGAAAATTTTTCTCTATCGAATGAGCTATTTAACTCAAAATTGTTGAGAATTGAAAAAATCGACGATACTTGGTATGGACGCAGTTTTTTGTATGGGAAATGGGGAAAAACAGCCTATTTCACTCCCCTATAAGTGATCGTCCATAGGTAGTACCGCACTAATAAAATATACCAATCGAAGCAGAAAAAAATTCTCTACAAGATAGGCTACTTAAAATAAATTAGAACATTATAACAAAAAAGTAGCACAGCATAGCATATGGCTACTCTGGGCCTAAAAATTATCTTAAAATAGCTGTAACTTTTTAAATCGAGCTATTTAGCAAAATTGGAAAACAGCATCGGAATCAGCGCAAAATTCTGCACAGAATAGGCCTGGTTTCAACTTAAAACTCCATTCACACTAAAAACCGTCTCCTTGTAAGCCTAAGGATTTGAACTGAAACAAAAAACAAACACTAAAGATCGCGTCTGTTATCCTTGCGAAAAATTACGACAACCCCGCGCTGTTTCGCCAGCGGCCCCCTGCAACAGAAAACATCTCTTCGCGCGTCAACGAAATCTCGTAGCGCGATAAGGCCAAAAAGTTGCCCTTGCAAAGAATACAAGCGCCCTATCGGCTGAACTCTACCCCACGCAATCCGGTGCACTTTGCACCACAACCGGGGGAACCCCACGAACAGCATGATGCAAACAGGCGCCCCTATTTCCATCCCCACCTCCCTTATCCCTCAGCTTTTCACGTGAAATCCCGCGTATCCCAGGACAGGCAACCTTTTTTGCAGGTATATTTCGGGCTGTGACGGCACCGCCTCGGACACGTCCCCCTACGGCAGCTTCCAGAACACGCTGTAACACGCTGTACATAATGTGTATTTAACGGCCAAACAGTCAGCATTGTGATCGTTTCAACTGTTCCCCCAAAAGCGCAATCCATAATGGGTACCCCTCGATCCCAAAGCTTTCACAGTTGCCAGTATTCTTTGAAACAGCTTTTTTGTGTGTGTGTGTTTTTTTTTTGATGCATCTATGTGATATTATAGGTTTCAAAATTGGCCTGTGCAAGGAACGCGCTACTTTTTGAAAGTAGTAACTACGTTAAAAACGAGATTAGGAAATGTCACACGGTTCCCACGCTTTTTGTAAGGCAGTAATTATCCGTATTTCCACCCTAAAACAGCATATGATACCATAAAGCACTACTTACTAGTTTTATTACAGCCTAAGTTAACGTTTATTTATACTTATTTAGTCATTTATCGTGGAAACCGTGCGACATGGACTAATTTCTAAAAACGACAGCTCTTTCTTCCTATACTTAAAAGCCTCTAATTTGGTGCTCCCTCCTATAATACTTCATTGAATGTGCTATCAAAACCCTGTGATAACCTGCTTAAAATCACTTCTCTTCCCAATAAATGTTTCCGCAAAACTTTCGTTGACCGCGAAAAACACTCATCGCGCGATTGTTAGGTGAACGTTTTTCCAGCCCCGGCCAAGAGGGAGTGTGGTATCTTTCCAGATCGCCCCGCAGCGCTAGCGGGGCGAAAACAAGCCCCCAGCGGTGGCGAGGAAAAAGCGCGATGGCCGGGAGCAAAGTCCCCCTCCCGGGGAAAGACAATCACAGGAACGGAGATAAATGGGACGAGTAGGCGGAGACTCTACCACCGAAAACGCCCATTTTCTTGCGTCGCATTTACACGGGTCGGTGACCTACGGCTGCTGTTCATTTTTGGCGGTTACGAAGGCGACTGCAAAGTTCGAGCATTAGAGCAAATTTGTAAAGTTCGGGCGTTCGAGCAGCCATATAAATCGCCATTAAATGGTCCTACTAGACTTTTTATTAGAGTTGTTATTCGACCAGGGTCGAAATGGTCGAAACTTTTGTAGGCTCCCGCAGCGAAAACTTTGTAAAATTCATAACTTTTTCTAAAGTAGAATTCCGCTATTTCGTCTTCATTTTTGATTCTGTGAGATCATTTCCTACATTTTGAGTCCTTAAACTATAAGTTTTCATGCTAGAATCACAAAGAACGGCACACCATGGCAGGGGGAAGTGGTTCCGAGAAATGGCCGCGCGTGAAACAAGGCAAGCAGACCGTTCTTTGTGATTCTAACATGAAAACTTGTAGTTTAAGGACTCAAAATGTAGGAAATGATCTCGCAGAATCAAAAATGAAGACGAAATAATTCTACTTTAGAAAAAAGTTATGAATTTTACAAAGTTTTCGCTGCGGGAGCCTACAAAAGTTTCGACCATTTCGACCCAGGTCGAATAACAACTCTACTTTTTATAGATGGCCGTACTTTACAAAACCTGCTCTAATGCTACTACGCTCGAGCAATGCAGGTTCCCATTCTTTTTTTGGCGCTTACGAAACCCATGTCGAGTCGCCTGTTTACTGTTTTCGCTGTCTCCGCCTATCGCACCGAAAGGACACCTTCAAACAAACCCCAACTTTCGGCCAAAACATCGCAAAAAGTCGGGGTCCCCGTCATTTTAAACGACAAGCGCCTCTTGCCACCGTATTCACTTCTCATTTTATAACGTGGACCGGGCGGAGCGTTTCGGAATTCTTCAGCGCGCTGAGTTCTGTTGGTTTTTTCGCGGCAGATCAGTTTGTTGAACTTTTACAAAACGTTTATAAAAATTTATAAAAATAAAAGCAATTGCTTCTTTTTTGGATTTCCTTTTCCTTTTGGTTTTAGTTTATCGCGCGTCGCCGAAATTTTCTTTGCTAAAACGACCATGCCCAACCATTACTATTTCTGACTTTTCCCTTACGTTTTTCTTTTTTCTGATCTTTATGTCATCATCATAATCTTTTCTAGGAAATCATGACTACCACTGCTCAACCGGATCAGTCGTACTACAACCGTGTTCTCAGCTACAGCCGTGGCCAGGCATCCAAGTGCGGCACATTGACTGTGGGCGCCGGCGTGATCGCAAGCCAAATACTCCTGGCAATTACCGCGGCGTCGGCAGCGCTGCTCCTCGACGGCATGAAGTTGGTGAAGGCCAAATCTGCCGGTTCTCTTCACCCGGCCAAGGTCCGCGTCATGAATGCATATGAAGGGGTGCGAGGCACCGTCGAGGTTTGTCTTTCATGTTTAATCAATATTCTGGTTCAATTTAGCGCCCACTACGATTTGTGACCGAAAAGTCGTCCGATGTTCTGAATGCCGTCCTTGATGTCGTGAGCGCCGTCCTGGAAAAGTCGCTTGGCTTGGAAATCCCATCCGCCCAGGAAAGCTCGGTTTTGGAACGGGTGAAGGCGGTCCTTCGTGGGCTCTACGAGTTTTTTACTCTGAAGGTATAATTATTTGTTTGAATATCAATATTCACTGCTTAGGCTCATAAACAAGTCATCGATCCGCTTTCCGGACAAGTCCAGGCTGCCGTCGAAAAGTTCAACAAGAACCTTGCCCTCGTCCAGGTCGTTCGCGAACAGGGACAATGGGCCTCTGACAAGATGAATGAAGTCAAGGGTTCCCTGGGAGATCTCAAGCACAAATTCGAGACCGAAGCCGCAAACCTTCAGTAAGCTATTTTTATTCTTTTTGTAAATTTTTCTTTGAAGGGTTGACCCTGAAGAGCTTCTGATGAAGGGAATTCACCGCTCCAACCAGGAACTGCAGCAGCGCTTGACGGTGCTCCGTGAGAAAGGCAGCCAGATGATGGGTCAGGGCAGCAATTTCGACGGCTTCATCACCTATCTCCAAGAGCTGGAGACATCCCTTGCCCAAGCCGATAACATCTACAGCGTCCAAGAAGAGGTAGCTCATAATAACTTGCAACTTATTTGTTCAATTCTAGGTTCTCCAGGAGGTTCGCAAGCGTCTCAACCAGCTCAAGCCTGCCGGTCCATGGAACAACTACTTCCGCAACGAGTAAACGGTCCTCAGCTTTACACAAATACTACCTCATCTCATCGGCTTCATTTATTTGTAAATGCTCATTGCCCTAACCGACGTGTGAATTTGTTAATTTGTCGCTGTCTCAAGTTGAATAAACGTGTATGATTGCATAGTATATAAAAAAATGCAGCTGATGTCGAACGCAATTTATTTCGTCAACAGAGAAAAGACATCCATCCTTTGTATCATCGCCCATAGTTTTTGGAATCATGCGTCGAAAATGCGGCAGAATTTGAAGCGGCAAGCGTATCCTAGAGGGGCATTTTAGTTGCTAGCGACGTTGCACTCACTTTTTTGCTTCCTCGACGGACTGTTCGCGTCAAGGCTCTCGAGGATGGAGTTGAGATCATCTTCTGCCGCTTTTAGACTGCGTGCATCATTTGCCACATAGACCCGTTCACGTGTTGGTGGAAGGAGTTTGACCAGATTGATAGAATAGGGAAAGTTCTAAAGTGAGTTTTAGGTGTTTGATAGATGCACATACCCTCGCTTCCCGTTGAAATGCCGCGTCATCGGGAAGCTCCTCCGCCATCAAAGCGCTGCACAGGAGCAGCAATGCTCCGGCCACAAGTGCGGGCGATCTGATCGACATCTGACGGGGTACCTGGAAGGTGATGGGTTGGTACGGATGGGCTGGAGCTTGGGCAAATGCAACATTTTGGCAACACCGAATATGGGTTCTCCGATTAAAATGGCTAGCCTTCCGATTCCATGTTTACCGCCCCTTTAGTTTTTTGGGGGCCCTATTGCCGGAAGGCGCGCGAGGTTGAATGGCGCCGCTCCCAATTGGGTACCACTCAATCAACTGATGAATACGGGACCGACATTTGCCATATCGGGCAAAGCTAAGCCGGTCGTTATAAAGGGCGAAGGCGACTTTTTCGGGTGGGCCATGCATTAGACCCGGATGATTTCATGTGAAGCCCGGTAGCCCTACATAGGTGAAGTAATGCGAATGAGTGCCGGGGATGGGCATACGGACGGGGCCCCCCAGCGCCGCAGATTGAATTATCCGTTTTGAGGTGCTAAATTGCGTCAAGGGACTGCTGAAATGGGCAATCCTCTTTCAAGCCGGCGCGCCGCTCAGGCTACACATGTATGCAAGGCAAATGGGATGGGTTCTCCTCACGGCATTTTTAATGGACACGCGGCGCCCGGGATTGTATCTTTAGGAACGCGATAAAATGTGACCTCAAATGGCAGAAAGTTGCGAGCAGCGGGTACATGTAAAAGGCGTTATCCGTCTTGAGTCCGGGTGCAGGCTTCTGGAGTTTTTTTACAGGTATCACCTGAAAAAGGGCACATCGATCCTTCCTTCGTGGGACGCCTGGCTGTTCCACGACACCAATGAACTGTGACGAACTGGGCAGGGAGGGCTTTGTTGAGCAAGTCTAAAGCAGCGCTGGGGTGGGCTGATAGACCCGGTCTTTCGTATTTCCTGCGTAATTATAGCCATTTCCTGTGTTTTTATAGTGATGGTAGAAGGGTAACGTAGAATAATATACTTTTGGCTGTCTTGACAAAGTTGGGGAAAGGGAATTTGCGCGCGCTAGCCCCGGCTATCCGCGGTGTCCAGCTGCATGTTTCTTGCTTTATTTTTCCAGATCTGATGGGGCTACTCGACTAGCAAACCAGGAGAGGGCTGCCTCCATATCGGATGAGTGTACATGCATGTCTCCTTGATCGCGCTATTTTTTGCTTTATTTGGCAACACCCCCGCTCGGCTTACAATACCCCCAGCGCTGGATGGGTTATAAAATTGGTCGTTCTTGCGTCATTGCTCCCTATCAAGACCATCAGACATGCATTTCGGTGAGGGTGTAGATGCTGATTCATCGCACCTACTCGTCCAATTCTTCCATGGGGCCCATCTGTTTGTCTTAGAGCCCCCGTGTGCGCGAGACGGTAGGCGCCCCAACACTTGTCGCCGGCTTCTGCCCTTTCTTTTATTTTCGTCTCTCAGGACCAACTTTCTGTTATTTACCCTCTGGAATGAACCACTCCCATTTCAGAGTCCATGAAAAGCGATGGTGGTAGAGCCAAGCGCAAGTGATCCACTATCACTGCCTGGCTACGTACGGTCACCGATAAAGATGTTGAAGCCGAGCCTCATTTTGTGTTTTCTACTAATTGGATCAACGCTCCTTCCCACGGCAGGTGAGTATTTTTTGAGGCTCTAACCCTTAGGCAGGCAAATCCTCGTCCATGACCTTCGAAAAGACGAAAAAAATTGGCGAAATGGCGCGCGCCCTAGCTATAGATTAAATGCAAACATATCCGATGGCCTAACCTGGATGTTCTGGCCCTTTGCCTGTCCTGTAACCATTCGTGTTTACGACCAAAATTGCTCTCATTGTAAACTGTTTGAAGTGCCCGGGGGCGGGGGGACTATTGTGGGGCGCATGGTCATATTAGTTCCCACCAGCTTATGCAGGATTACCGGTGTATCCTGTCGTGCCCGCCTGCTGGCATGCTACTTTTATTCCGTTCCACCGTTCCAAGCCATCCCCTGTTAGATGTTGCAGATGGATCCATCCGCGAAACTAAATTGGTTTTTTCTCTAGGCCGTGTCTTCAAATTTGTAAAAATTATCCTGTTGAGCTAAGGCTAGATAGGTTGGAAGCGACGGGCGTGGTTTCTTACCGCACAACTGATGTTTTGCGCGGGCGCCGGGTACTCATTGCTGAATCAGCTTCCCGTGTTTCAACTAGCCGAACCGGCGACAATCGCAAAGTTTAGTGGTTGCGCTAAATGGAACGCATTTGATTGTATAGGGTAGTAGGACCGAATCCAAAGTTTCTAAGGTTTCCGTTTGATTTTAGCCTCCTGTAGCGTGAAATCCACATATAGCCTTTTTCAGCAGGCTGCATGAGAGCGAAACGAGAAGTAGAATCACCTCCGGTTGATGATGGTAGCGGCGAAGACTTTGTCAACAGCACTGCTCTTATAAGTCCAGTATGTTTTTGACGTTGTGCGGTATAAGGCTGTTTTTTAGGTATTTGAATCAACTTCCGAAGACAACGAGGTCGACGACGAATTCGAAGAGTACGACCGGGGATGGTCTGATGACAATCCGTTGCCGTGTGAGGTATTGTAAAATGATAAGCGTTCAGCCCCTGCTTTAGACAAAGATCTGTCAAAACGGCGGCACCTGTATTCGAAAGGAGCATCCATTTGGCGAAAAGTTCATCGAGCAATGCCTGTCAGTTTTCGAGTTTTCGGTCTTTTGTGCTGACCGCTTTTGACGGACTGACCCCTAATTTCGTGTTTCAGATGTGCCGATGGCTATGACGGGGAACATTGCGAAGACGTTTACGACTACCACCGTCACATTGGCCCGGTCGCAGAATTTTCGAGATCGGTGAGATTGCCTGCAAGTTATTTGAAAAGCCAAAGTCTAGCCCGAGATAATTTCTACAACGACTAAGCTTGCCATTACGCAGCCGTCAAAACGTATACCCGTTGAGGTCTATTTCAAACATTTTAGCACGGCACCTCACACAAAATTCCCGCCGATAATTTGCACGCACCCTGTTTTTTAATGATCGCTTGCACTAATATGTCTCCACCTCCTTAACTCTCATTTTTCGGCACTTCCCTGTTAGCGGGGGCGTAAGGCCAGGTTTTTTGTCACCAATGTCCGGTGTCATAAAAACAGATAGACTTTTGGATTTGAGTGGTTTCGCATCACTAGAAAATTACAAAAGCTTGGGAAATTTTGAACATTTAAAGATTTTTTTTTCTTAAAGCTTTTGACCAATCCTGGCCGAAAACTCAGAATTGTTCGAAACTTTTGTAATTATATTCACAGTGTTTCCTCTGTAAAAAACGCGGAATTTTTGTAATTGTAAAGCCGTTATTCGAGAAACATTTTGCCTTGCTCCCCCCGCTAACACCGAGGCACTTTTTTTCGTTCGCTTTTAAACGATTGTTTAGGTTTACGAGACGGTGTCTTATTCGGCGCTCAGCTTCTTCGTCTGCATGGCCATCATCACCATCCTCATCGCCATCTATGCGTACCGGAGGTGAATGTTGTTTTCTTGATAGCGTGCAGCCGGGAAACTAGGCTGCGAAAAGTCTCTGAAAACGCTATTCCGAGATACAGGGTATCTCGCCAGATGGTGGAGGAGTCGACGTGGTGGTGGGAGAAAACGGAGGAACAAGATGGGAGCAAGGGATCTACCCTGCCCGGTTCCGGTTATCTTAATCGATCAGGGGTATGGTTTATTTGTCTTTTCTCCAAAGAGTTGTCTTTAGGCAATCATTCGAGGTTCTCGGGCCAATGCCGACGAGACTTTCGCTTCAGAAGTCGTGGGTCATGTCCCCGAGTCCTTCTTCCGAAAGCAGGTTTGGTAGATTTCGTTTTCCTGATTTTTTTTGTTTGTTTTAGTCCATGTTACAACAAGATCGACTTCTCAGCACTGCTAATCGGTCTGGCGTCTCCAGGTGCTCGACCGCAACTTCAGCCAGACATGTATGCTTTTCAGAATTTTCAGAGATCGGTGATTTCGAATTATCGGGGGATCGAATTTTTCCTATTAGCTCCAACTGCCTAGCCGCGTATACTCAGTATTTTAGTAAATTTTATTAGATTTTGTTGCTCTATTTCTAGTGACAGACTATCTAAAAACTTAGAAAATACTTTTAATTTGATCGAAGAGGCGATATTTCTTTTGTTTTTTCACAAAAAAATTTGAAAATGAATCGTTTAGAAATGGTAAAAAGGTTAAGAAACAGTCTATTAAGATGAAAAATCGTGGTCCTGGTAATGCGTAAGCACCGGTTCATTAAATCCATTTTTCTAGTCTCCTCTACGAATGGATATAGTCGACGAGACGCTTCCTGTCCAAGAACGATCTCACACTGCGTCACCGCTCAGCATCCATTCCACGAAATTATAACGTTTTGTGCGTGTCGACGGCTTTTCACGGCTCCTCATCGCTCATCAATTCATATCTCTCTCTCATCCGCCCGTGGATACGTTGTGCAATACCCTTTGTTTTTCTAGTTACCCGCCACCAGCACCACCAGGTCAATCTTGGTGGCGCGGTTGGCTGCTATCTCTATCCATTGTTGGCCTTCTGTGAATAATTGTTATGTTGGACCCAAAGATGGTTGTCGCGGGAACAATTGTCTTGCTTGTATTCAATTACCAAAGAGCTTGCTTCACTTGTACTTTTAGCCCTCTTTCCCGTCTGCGTCCTCAGCTCTACTAATATAAGACGGGTACAATCTTTGATGCGTGTACTGATAAGGATATTTTTTTGCTCCATTGTAATAAAAACGGTTCAAATGGGGGTGTATTCAAGGTTGTAATTGCGTGCTGAATGCCTTGTCGAGATCTTTTATTGATGCGCGAATACATCAGAGAAATATACGACAATCGATGGACGAGCGGGGTGGGCGAAGAAGAAGAGGGCTATGGGAAGTCGCGATCGTCAGAGCCATGGCCAGTTGGGTCACTAAATTGTGGTACGATTCTGGGTAGGGGATGTTGGGCCCCACGTCGGGAGGGGATGTCGGAGTCGAGTAGAAATCGGGGCAACCACCAGTGGTGGGGGTCGGTTTCTGATCCAAATCAGACTTGCCTTTCGGGCGTTCCAGCCGTATTGGTCTCCTGAAGAAATTGCTGTCAGATTGGTGATGATACCGAGGTGTCAGCCTGGGTCGCCTGAAGACGCTCCTGACTCTTGCTGGTCTTCGCGCTCTTCTCCTTGGCCATGCTGCGTTCAGTTCCCCTGGCCGACGCCTCCGAATCACCATCGCCCGCCTGGCTGTTGAGGGCGCGCTGCGTCTCCTCCTCGAGTAACTGGCGTCCTAAAACAGACCTTACTCTTTAGAAGTTTAGACACAATTCAGGCGGCAAACGATTGAGCGTTTTAAACCGGATTTTGCTGCTTACCAAAGAAGTGCTGGATTAGGCAGGCCACCATTGCATCGCCGAATGTGTTGTTGACGGTACGGAGGCGGTCCCTAAATCAAGAGGCTTCATATCCAAGTTTAAACCCCACAAAATCCAATCGATCGGAATCAGCGTGGCAATGCCACCGACAGGTGCCTGGATGGCGGTCAGCACGATCGCCATCGTCACCAGCGAGACTGAAGGAATGCCAGCGGCGCCAAGGGAAGCCATGGTCGAGGTGACACTAAATATCCTAATTTTTGGATTCTAGGCGGGGCCTACGCGATCATAACGTATTGGGTAAAGTTCAGTGGCGTCTCGGAGACCTGGGCAATGAACATGCAGGAAGCAGCAATGTGGATCGATGTGCCACTCTATCACAAAGACACGTTGTGGCTGATACTGTTATACCATGTTGATCGTCGCTCCAACGGGGATGATGACTTGTGAGATCTGCTTGTTGACGCCCATGTTCGCCTCAATGCACTCCATATTCACCGGGATAGTGGCGGTGCTGAAGTTAATTTTTGCAATTTCGCGCGCCCAAACCTTGAAGCGGTCGCAAAGGCAATGGCAATGGCCTTCAATTGACTTTTGACCAGCTTGATCGGGTTGCTCTGCGTGACGATGGCGAAGAAGACGTTTTGCAGGATGAAAATGCCGAATTGACAGCAGGTGGCGACAATCAGGTAGAACCCTAAATATTAACCGGTCGTTTATATGCCGGCCGGAAGCTACCGATTGTCGTGACCGTTTTGCCCATGTCTTTGGCGACTACGATCTGGCCGGCTATCAGGAAGATGATGGCGAATGGAGAATACCATACGATCAACGTCACCTAGAATTGTAAGTGTCATCCTGTTGTTCTTCGCGCTCGCTCACCACTTTCGTGATCATCTTGTCAAGCACTTTCATCACGCGCATCAGCGGCTCAGCCTCCTTTCCCATCGTCGAGGCGATCAGGCCGAGGGTCAGGGCGAATACGACGAGACCTAATTCGCCATAAGAATTCGATCAAATGGTTTGGTGACCAACCGAGCACGTTGCTGCCATCTTTGTCGATAATCACCTTCTTCTTTTTCTTAGGATCGCTGCTGGGCCGCGTGATGTTTGGCAACTGTTCGCCGACGACTTTGACGTACTTGAGCTGCGAGCCATCGATCTCGTCCGGCATTTCTTTGATATCCAAGTCGGTGTTGTTGAGTTTGTAGTAGGGTGGCCTCGTCCCACCGGTCACCATCTCGTCGAGCCCTACAAAGAGCTTGTTTGACGGCATTTTGTGGTAAGAGATTTTAGGAGAAAAACCGGTTCTTCCGCATTATCAGGGGGGCGGAACTTTTCTGTATAAGCCTGTCAACTAGAAAATTATCTAAAAGTTACTAAAAGTCGGAATTTTGTTCAAAAATTGGCAATTTCCGGTCGCAAAATCGATATTTTTGATATTTTGAATACAAATTTGTAATGGTTGACGTTTAGGAATCGTAAAAATCCATTTAGAAACATTTGCACTATTTATATTTAAAAAGGAGATAACCGAAAAGTTGGTGAAAAAGTAGAAGATCGCCCCCGATAATGCGAAAGAACGGAAAAGCTTAGTGGTATAGTAAAAACTATTTTAGTGGAAGGGAAGAACTTGAAATCTACGCGGAGGAGGGTAATCACCCTATTTACGTAAATTGGGATTTAGCTCAGCCCCGGAAACCGTCGCTCACTTTTCTGCACCGTTCCTTTGGAGTGGATGGCGGAATCGACGAGGTTCTCGGTGAACGCATTTCTAAGACCGGGGCAATACAGGCGTTTGCTTTATAGTACCGCAGCAGGTCCAAAAAAGTGTCCAACGGGTCGCCGGGCTCGTACGCACTCCTGTCCTTGTTCTCCTCGCTCCTCCAGACTGCCACGAGATCTGCGTCAGGCCGACCGGGATGCACGGCCCACATCACGATGATGCCCAGCTAGATGAAGTTAAGAGTTTCTAGAAAAATAGGGCTTACAAGGACTGCCACAATGGTGCTAGCGAAAAAGACGGCCGTTGCCAGCCCGCCGATGCGTCCCATTTCTTCTTTGCGCATCCCACCAACACCTAAACTCGCCAGACGATGATGATGTAGAAGGCTCGGGATAAAATCGAAGATAGATGAGGAATGGGCTGTTAGCGGGGGCGGGGACTATCTAGCCTACTTATCGCGTATGTAGAAGTTTTTGACTACCAAAAGGCCACTTTTTTGACCGAAAATGAAAATTTCGAAAAAGTTAGCAATTCGAAAAGACCCTGTGTGGCGAAAGGCCAAAGTTAGTCAGCCTCCCTCCCCCGCTAACATACCAGTACCACATAGGGCTCCGAGACACCTATCGACTCACCGCAAATGAGCGCCACGGTAATCAGCGGAACGACGATCATCTTGAACATTTGCAGCAGGATCTTGCCGGGGAACCCGATCAGGTTGCCAGCCTGAAAATTCGTTTTGGCAAGCGTTGTCGACGCACCTCTTCGCCCAAATTCATCGTCGCTTTCAGGCCGATGCCGATGATTGCTCCGACAATGACGGCCGCGATCGTCAGCGTCAGCAGCAAATTGCGCTGGATGAAGTTGGCCATGGTGATGAAGAATACGTGGAATAAGGGGGGACGAGCCCTTTTATTTGAGGGTTTGGATGCAAAGACAGTTTTTTTTCATTGTAGAGCAAATATGCTAATGACGTATGCGATGCGGAGATCCTTTCCTCTATTTCCGGTGAAGCCGAAATAAATCACCTAAATCAATGAAACAGGGCCGGACCAGGTGAATACCCCTTCATTTATTTGTATCGAAGCGATTCGGATGTGGAATACAAAAAAAAAAGATTAATAATCACAAACACGAGTAGTTAAGGGCGATAATGTGCTTAAAACGGTCAGCCGGCACGCTTCTTCAGCTGGCGCCTCTTGGGCTTGACCTTCAGCGGATCAACGGGCAGCGATCGACGGTGTTTCTTCCCCTGGGCGCCCTTCTTCTCTCCCTCGACGGCCGTCGGGTCCACGATCTTCAACTCGATCGCACGCTGCCAGAGGCAGGCACCGCAGCTCCCTGTAAGATCAAGTGTTTATTTTGTAAAGTTAACGTTAGTAATTAAGTATAATATTTCCAGTTTCGAATTGAAATTTTTTTACGAAAATCCGTCAATTTTGGTTGAAAAAGCTTTTTTAAAAAAGAGCTATATATAAGCTATATTAGAAATATTTGTAAAGTTTAGACGTTTAGAAAAAGTAACAAGCAGTTAGTGACACTCCCCGTATTTTTATCAGAAAAATCGGATACTAAAGAAAAAAGTTTGTTGCCCCCAGCTAACCCCCTCCCCCCCACCCGATAACTCTATTTCTTCTTTCTATTTTCCAGTTTGTTTCTCGACTAACGCTTTCTTCTTTTCGCGCTGCGAAACTCACGGTCGATCGCCACGCCGCTGCCATCCCAGTCGCATAGCCGACAGCTGCGACAGACGAAGGAGTCGTGGCACGGCTCGTTGGGCAGGTGCTTACTGAAAATGCGAATTTCTATAGAACGAACGCTCGAGAAAAATTCTTCCGGGCACTTACTCGAGACGATGTCGACAACCGCCACACAACTTCTTGGTGCCGTTTCCGTGAGTCCACAATCCGTACCCTCGCAGCTTCGCCGGCTCTTGGAAAATACCGCAAAGGCCGCACTATAAGAATCGTTAAACAGACGGGGTGGAAGGTGTGATTTGATAAAATCTTATTTGAAATTTTTGTCGGAAATCGACCATTTTTGGTCAAAGACACGATATTTTTTGTGTTTTAATCAAAATTGTAAAGTTTTTTGCGGCTAGGAATAGCAAGAAACTATTTAGAAACACTTCCCCTTTTGATTTTAGAGAAACTGAATCCTTAGAAAAAAAGTTGAACCCGTCGATAATGCGGGGGTGGGGGTGAAAAACCGACGTGGCTATTATCGTTGCGGGCCCTCGGGGTGACGTGTGCCAGTCCCTTCACGAGTTCTTGCCCGTCCACGATCAGCGCGAGAATCCATCCATCCGTCAACATCTGGAGCCCATCGCATCTTCCACGGATCACGGGGTGCACTGAAAGACCAAAGATAGAAACACAACATAGCCTAGCTATTCAAAGCGCCGAAGGGGTTGAAAAGACGAGAGCCAATTACGATATTAAGGGCGGAATTACCGGCTGAGTGTCAGTTGTGCGGCGGGAAGGCGCCCATAGCGCTTCACCTCAACTTCCACCGTCTTGGAAACGAGCACGCGCGTCTGCGACAATAGCTCATAGGCGCCGACGATGCGTTCCAGGGGCACCTAGACTGCGATTAAGCCATAAGTAGCTTGTTACCGCCGATCCCGCGTACAGGCCGAACGTGATGTGGTGTGCGTCGCCAAGACCTGCGACGGGCACATCGAGGGCCTGAAAAGAGACCATTTTGATACAATAAAAAGCCGAAACGAAAGCTACGATTTTTGGGACCACCTGGGCCTCCGGGAACAAGACCTTCTCGTCCGGTTCGGCATCCTTCTCGGGCGCAACCTCATTCGGAAGGAGGAGCGGCGGCTGGGTGGTGAGAGGAACGTCGAGCAGCTGAAAATAAAGTTCGTGTGCCTGAAAAGAGACCATCTTAGTATAATAAAAAAACCGAAACAAAACCTACGATTTTTGGGAACACCTGGACCTCGGGAACAAGACCTTCTCGTCCGGTTCGGCATCCTTCTCGGGCGCAACCTCATTCGGAAGGAGGAGCGGCGGCTGGGTAGTGACGGGCACGTCGAGGGCCTGAAAATAAAGTTCGTGTGCCTGAAAAGAGACCATTTTGGTATAATAAAAAGCCGAAACAAAACCTACGGCATTCTCGGGCTTGATAAAAATTCCGCGCCCAGGCCTGGCGCTGAAGTAGCGCACCCCCAAAACAGTGCCGTTGTGCCGACCGCAATCATCGTCGAGTTGTATCCCGATCCATTGCCCCGGGGCAAAACTCGTCTTGCCGATGAATTTGATGACGCCAGCGCATTGACCTGAAGGAGCTTATCGATCAACAATGATCCAACTATCGCACGCAGCGTTTTGTGGTCATGTCGCCAAATTTATTCAATCGAATTTTAGTAGTAAGTTGTGTAATGGTGCATTTTTGGGAATATCAAAATTCAGACATTTCCCAGCGCCGACAGTCCAAAAAGGGCGTCGGCATGGGCATCCTGGGGCACCAAATTCGGGCTCTTCTTATACTAATGGCAAGCGTATTAAATAAAAGAGTTTGGTGAAATAGAAAGTTACCCCCACGACGCTAACGAAAAAACTGACCATAGCGGACCCTTTGGCCCACGGCCAACTTCATCACGTAGTAGAATGGAAACACATGGCAGGCTAGAAGGTGTAATTCAATACTCAAGTTAATGGATGCTAATTATTCATTTCCGGATGCATGAAATCTTGCTAATTTCAAATTTCGTAATTGGAATCCAATGTTTACGCCTTCTGGGTAGGCACTTAATTACCTTACCGGCCATATACTAGAGCACCGAAAACCCATAGCCGAGCGTCAGAATCGAAGTCACACATCTCCGTCTGATGAAGCTCAATTACACGGCACGACCAGGCAGAGACCAGGGACCAGGCAATGAGACTGTCCGTGCAACATTTCCCCGAAAATATCCGATAAATGTTGTCAACACGAATCCAATTCAAAGCGTGGCACACACATCAAAAAGGTTTATTAAAGTGTTAAGTGAGTAAATCGGTGGCGATCGGCGTGGAGCGGGCAGGGTGGACGAGAGATTGAAGGAGGCTCAGGCCTTGTTCACATAGAGGCCCTTCTTGTTCTTGCCTAAGGAAGGCGCGTTTTCCGGCAACAAGAAGTTGAGCTACCTTTAGCTTTGATGCTGAGCGGCACGGGGGTGTAACGGCCACGCATGTCGATCTCAGTCTCCGAGCTGCACACCCAGATCGAGTACCCCTCCGTGGCGGTGGGGACAGCGGCGCTCACTAGAACATTTTCAAAAGAAGGTTTTTCTTTAGGTATCAAGGCGAGTGGCAACTCCTTACTTTCAACGAGCGCCTCCGAGTCGGGCATCTCGTAGAAGGACCAGTCGCCGTGGTCACTCAAAGTGTCGCAGTCGCCTGGAAGTGAGATTTGGGTACTAATGCACTTAGGGGGGGGGGGGGGCAGTCTGGATTTTGACTACGAGACGCTCCAAATGCCGTTTTTTAAACTCGAAGCCTCTGTAAAAGCATTTGTATGAAGCTCGGCTTAGCTTCATACAAATGAAGCCTGAGCTTAGCTTGCGCCAAGCTAAGCTTAGTTCTAAGCTAACCCATAAATGACCCCATTTTGACCTCGTAAGCCAATTTGAAGCTCAAGATAAGCTTAGCTTAGGCTTAGGCTTAAGCCTAAGCATAAGCAAGGCTTAGTTAAAGCTAAGTTAAGCCTAGGCTTAAGCTGAAAACCAAGTAGCTTAAGTGGAGCGCCTCGTAACCCCTTACTACCAATTTTGGATTGCCCCCCCCCCCCTAACTGCATTAGCACCGAGATTTTGACTGTACGTAAACTTGACGATTATCGATCCATAAAACCTTGACTTACTCGGGTTGGTGGCATAGGCGTTGAGGGCATACTTGTCCATGCTGACGGCCGTCTCGCTGGGCAACACCTCGTAGACGGAGTTGTCGAGGGCCGTCTCCAGGTCGGCTAAAATAACCAGAATTTTCAGTTGCACGACACGAACACGTACCATCGAGCGACTCGAGCATGCTGACGTTGGTCTCGCTCCGGGGCGGGTCGTAGAATGAGCAGTCGACGGCCTCGTCCAAAAACCCTGCAAAAGTCAAATATTAGGTTAGAGAGCAGCTTACCCCCGCCCCCCCCCCCCTCCTCTCAGTCGACCCCACCTACCGTATCTCGGCTCCCTGTTCATCTACAGGTGTGTAAAGTATACCAAAATACTTGCCAGAGCAAGACGAACATTTTGGTATACTTGACACAGCTGTAGATGAACAGGGGAGCCGAGATACGGTAGGTAAGGCCGGCTGAGGGATGAGGGGGGTATTTTGGAAAACTTTACAGCCATGTAGCACAATCCGGAGCTTAGTTATCATACCTTTGGCGAGACTTTCCATGCTGACCATCGCCTCGGTGGGGGCCAACTCGTAGACGGAGAAGAGCTCGGCCTGGGTGACGGTGATCGTGCTCCGGGCCTGCGTGTACACGGAGTATTCGGCGTCCGACAAGGCGTCGGCTTGCACAGGGCCCGAATCCATTGACATTTTTCAGGAACAGACGATTTTAGAGAGTCGCAGCAGAGGCGCGGATAGAGAATGATGCATGGCGGCCGGGATTTTCTTGATATTCGACGGATATTTGGAAATCATTGGGCGTTTCCGGCCACGCGAATGATGAATCATTTCGAGTTCAGCATTTTAAATTAGTATGCAACGGGTGGCCAGAAATTTTCGAGCCAGCAAAGCGAAGCCATTCGAAGTCGGCTTCTTTTTTCCTACCCCATCTGGGGCAGGAAAAACCAAAAAATATAAAAAATGACTTTCTAGGCCGTAAATCACAAATAAAACCACATAAAAGTCAAAGCAAAACGGGGGTCGAATAGAAAAAAAGCGTTTATTGCTGTACAGGTAGTTTGCGTGTTCAGGTGGTTTTGTAGAATTGTCAGACGATGGATATTCGAGTGGTCGATTGCCGGTGCTGTCATTTCCGCACAGCTCACTCCTGATTCATGTTGTTCCTAAACGGTGGTGACTCTGTTTCGGCCGGCGAGGTGGCCGGCGAACCTAAGGGGGTGGCGAGCTGGCCGGCAAACCTCGGCGCAGTGGCCGGCGAACCAGAGCTCGGCGAGGTGGCCGGCGAACCACCGGCGAACTTCGCCGGAAAAGGGGACGAGAGGGGATCGGCGAACTTCGCCGGCGAACCACGACGCGACCGGAGTGGCGGGCTGCGAGAGAAAAAAAAGTCGTAAGTCATTTGCAAAAAAAAAACCAACTGGCGTGGGATCGGCGGCCGAAACTACAGGTTTTTTTAAGAAAGATACTATTATTATAAAGACTGATAGATATGAAAGCTGCCGACGAGAAGCGGCGAATGCGCGATGCGGCGATCCAACGCGTTACTGAAATATTACGATCGGTGAACGAAGAATCGGATCCAGATGAGGTGGAGGATACAGTGCCGGAAATGGAAGAAAACGCAGGTCTGTGATGTTATTAGAAACCAGCTTATTACGATGGAAAATTGGTATTTATAGAAAGCGAACATAACGGCACCGTCAAGGTAATTACTTGAAACCCCTGTATCGATTTCGACACCCTTCAGGTAGATCCCGAACTGATGGACGGAAAAGTCCTTACGCGACAGATCCAACGGCATGGGGACAACCCGGCGCTCCAACAGCTACTGCAGCGTCAGCTCTCCTACGAAACAATGGTAAGGTAAGGTAAGTTGATCAAAACCGAAGATGAAGGTAGTCAGTAAAGGAATACCGCCGAAAGCGTAAACCGTTACCAAACACACATTTCGCTTCTGACAATCTCAAAAAAGGTACAATTACGAATCGAATTCAGGCCTCCACAAGCCGCTTCTCCTGCGAGGAAATTCATTTCTTCACCCGTTGTTAAATTTTTACTGTTGATAAATTGATTTAAGCCCCTCTTCCTCAGTCGCTATCTGGGTCCAATCCGTCCTGGTTCTATTAATCCATGTTTTCTTCGTAGATCCTTATTGTTTAATGAATAATAATCAAGGGGATTAAGCATCAGCTAGCTCGCACAGGTTCGCCAGCGAAGTTCGCCGGGCTGGTTCGCCGGCGAAGTTCGCCGACCCCTTTGCCGGCGAGGTGGCCGGCGCAGTACGCCAGGCGAAGTTCGCCGTGGTTCGCCGGCCACCTCGCCGGCCGAAACAGAGGAGGTGTAATTGCGACGGATTTAGCCCACAGGTACTCGGTGAGGTTCTTCGCTGGCTTATGAAGGCTCCGTGGCGTTTCCTAAAGTGAATTGGTATTTAAGGTATTTTTCGTATTTCATTGAATTTAAGTTTTTAATAGTTTTTAGTAACAATTAACTATGTTTCAAATAAAACTATCTATAAAACGCCGAACATTTTCAAATTTTGGTCGAAAACCCGGTATTTTTCGTACTTTTTCAGAAAAGAAAAGTTTTCACGTTGAAAAATAGTAAAAAACCGTCTACAAACACTTCCGCTACTTATAATACAAAAACTGAAGCCTAACTAAAAAGTTCGTTCCCGATTAAATGTTTTAGTACGCTAAATTACAGTGCAAAGCTTAGTCTGTTGTAATGCCCTCAAAAACACTTTGTAAGGCTGCTCAAACTTTACAAATTTGACCAAACATTCAAAGTACAAAAATATGTAACGTGTAATGTAACGTATGGAACCTTACCGGCCTTGGAGGGGTGTCCCCGTGGTGATCTTGCGATTTCTGCGACTGCGTATCAGGGCTGGCCACTTCGCGCGTCGTGTGCGTCGGGGTGGCCGGGGCGGACTTTGTGGAATCCCTATCCTGGGATTGGCTTCTAAAACATGCTTTAGCGGATGGAGCAAATTTCCCTACTCAAGCTGGCGTTCCGAATCGCCTTCGGCCAACTTTTTGCCTGAAACAGTTTGCGCTTTTTGGATTAGCAAGATACCAAAGTAGTGTTGAATCAGACACGCCACCATCGCATCGCCGTAGGTGTTGTTCACGGTCCGGAAGCGATCCCTATGAACAGATTGTGGTTCTTTTTGCAATTTTTCTAATACAAAAACAAGAAGCAGTTTTCTAAACTGTTTCTTGGTATTCCTAAAGCTAAATAATTAACAAGATCTGATTAAAAAAATACCAAAAAAATTTTCGACAAACGATGGCCATTTTTGGCCAATTTTCCTACTATAAAATTGTTTTAAGTTTTTAGGTATTTTTTCCTGTTGAAATATGGTTTTATTTTACTGAAAAACTAATAACATACTTCATATTCAGTTACTAGGTATGACTTGGACAAAAACATTAGGTTCTCCTCCGGCTACACGCGAAGCTCTCGTTTCCGTTCTAGCCACCAACAATATCCAGTCGATGGGGATGACGACGCTGATGCCGGCAAGCGGCACATCGATGGCAGTTAGCACGATGGTCATCGTCACCAAAGATACCGCCGGAATTCCAGCGGCGCCGAGGGCAGCCAGTGGCGATGTGACCCTGCAAAGGCGTCATGGGATCCCCTTTTGACCTACGCAATCATGATCCATTGGGAGAAGCCAAGGGTCATTCCATTTAGCTGGGCGATGAACATGCAAGAGACGGCAATGTGCATCGCGGTCCCGTTCTAAGCGAAAGGTTACTTCGAACATTAAGATTTTACCATGTTGATCGTCGCCCCAACAGGTATGATGACTTGGGAAATCTGCTTGTTGACGCCCATATTCTTCTCGATGCATTCCATGTTCACGGGGATTGTGCCGGTGCTAAAAAACGCTTTTCTTTAGCATCATACTATACGTCTAGTTATGATTTAGAAGTATTTTAATCCCCAGATGCCCCCCCCCCCGATAATGCGAAAGAACCAAATAATTTGGCTCGAGTTACCTGGAGGCAGTCGCAAACGCGATGGCGATAGCCTTGAGCTGGCTTGAGGTGGGACCAGCTTGAACGGATTGGTCCCGGTGAGCACCATGAAGAGCGTGTTTTGGAGCACGAACACCAAGATTTGGCACATCGTGGCAATGCCGAGGTAATAGCCTGAAGTTAATGAGGTTGTAAAAAATGGTTCTTTCGCATTATCGGGGGAACCAACTTTTTCTTCTAGGATATCAAAAATGTAGATTCTTCGACCAAAAATCTCGATTTTTGGCCAACATTTTGATTTTTCAATTTTTGAAAATTTTTTTAGATAGTTATTCTAGTTTGTCTAAAATGTAGAGTTCCTATACATTTCTAGACTTATAGAAAAATTCCTTCTCCCCCGATAATGCGAAAGAACCAAAAAAAAAATATCAAGCCTCAAGCCCCCACCCATCTGCTTGAATGTTCGCCCGAGGTCATCGACCTGAATCAGCTGGCCGGCGATCAGGAACACGATGGCGATCGGGGAGTACCACACGATGAGCGTCACCTTTTGAGAAGTCTTATCTAGGCATCCAAATGCTTACCACGGTAGCTACTGCCTTATCAAGGACCCGTAGAGGCTTCATCAGCGGCTCAGCTTCTTCACCCATCGAAGACATGATAATCCCTAGCGTCAGGGCAAAGGTGACCAGTCCTGAATTGTCAGAATCGATCAATTTTGGCTAAGCCTTACCTAACACATTACTGCCGTCCTTCTTCACGACCGTCTTCTTCAATTCAGTGCCCGGAACCTCGGTCAGCATCTCGCGCTCCTCGAAACGCGTCCGATTCCCGTCCTCGATCTTCACCCAGTATTTTGTCATCTCCTTTCCGCGGCCCGCTTCTAAAGAAAAGTAATGGGGCGGTAGAAGGCGTACTATTTTTGACAGTAGCCTGCAGACGGCTGGCCGAGTCGACGATGTTGTCCGTGAAAGCGTTTCTGAACGGTTAGTGTTAGTTGTAAGACACCGATAATCCGTCTACTACTACCTGCTTTGAATTTCGAATTTCGATATTTGAAATATCGACATACCAGCGGCCAAAACCCGCTGCGAAACCCCCGATATTGAGAAAGCACCAAACCGACTAACCTGATCAAGTCGAGGATCGAGTCCCACGGATCGATGGGATGGCCTCCGTCATAGTTATTCAGATTTGGGTCGGCCAAAAGGCCCGAGTGTTGATCGCCCGGATGAACGGCAATCATTATCAGGAGGCCGATCTGAAATTGCAGAAATAATTGTATAAATCATCCGTTTTTATGTCTAAAAGTTCATGAATCATTAACCGTTTCGATTCTGCAAGATTTTGGATATCAGGTATCGGCGGGGCTTCCCCCCCCGCTAACAGTCCAGAACCCAACGTTCACCCACCAACACCGATGCAATGGTCGTTCCGCCAAAAACTGCCACCGCCGTCCCTCCGATATGGCCCATCTCGTCTCGATCCATACTTCCGACACCTAGCTCTCATGTCCAGTTTTCACAAATATTCCTCACCGACGATCAGCGCGACGGTGAGCAGCGGCACGACAATCATCTTGAACATCTGGAGCAGCATCTCGCCCGGGAAGCTGATCAACCGGATTGCCTGAAAATACCAAACAATACTTTCGGGTATGGACCACTTACCTCGGCATTAGGCGTGAAAAATTCTTTGACGAGCAGGCCGGCGCTGATCCCGAGAAGGACGGCTGCGAAGGTCGAGACGAGGAGCAAGTTGTTCTTGATGAAGTGACATCTGAAAAGCATGTAAATCGTATTTGATTACTTACAGGGCACTGCTTGTCTTCATCCTGCGGAGACTGACTGACTTTCAGAAGCTTTTGCTTGGGTTTTCGAGGATGTAAATTTTTATATTCTTTTCCGGGCTTGTTTGCCGAGCGCCGAAAGATCGTAACGCCCCTTCCTCCGCGTTACTAGCTGTCTACCTCTCTCCTCTTTTTTTTAAATTATGTAAATCTGGTACTTTTGCGTTATCGGGGGGGGGGAGGGGAGAAATAAAATACCAAGAAAAAAGCTGATAACCCCCCGCCCCTCGCACCCCCCCCCCCCGATAATGCGAAAGAACCCTAAATTCTTATAGTCTTTTCTCAATTTCACACTATCTGCTTCTGTTCCCCTATTCTGAGCGCCGGATAGTGTAAAGCGATCAAAAGATCGGAATAGCCATTCCCCGTTGACAAAAGCTGTCTGTCTTTTTCTGATTTTCCCGAATGAGGCCGGAATGGTTTCCGGTTTTGATGTGTTTTGTTTTGGTATCCTTTCTTCAGAGACGCCTCACTTTCATCGCACCGTCCGCTTTATAATGGACTCGCTCGTCTCGTGCCGTGGCTGTCCCATCACTTTTTGTTGGCCTCGGGCTGGCTCGGACCAACATTTCGCGGCAGTCGGGGCGTTGTTTGTAGTGCAATGGCGTATGCCCCCAACGGCCTCTCCATCCCTCCTCATTGTCCCGAAGTGGCTATACTCTTATCGCGATGTTCCCCACTGGATTCGTGTCCTTTCGTTGTTCAGACCACATGGAGCAGCGGTAGCAGCAGAAACGTCTTTTTCCAGGTGGATGGGCGTAGCTAGATCGGGGAGATGCACCGCCGTTGATCGTCGATGCCCGATTTGCCGCGTTGTCTGCTGAATCTACGCCGACGCATGCTGGCGCGCCAGCGCACCTTCTTTTTTGTTGTGATGCTCGTCGCGTCGCTCGTCATTTTATGTGGGTTCGCTTTTGATGTGGCAATTAAAAAAAAACTAGCAGGGGATCGCCTTTTTTCCGGGTATCGTGGTAAGTATTTAGCCTCTAAAACAGCTCTTTTTGCCTCTAAGGTATGCTCTTTTAAATTAAATTACTAATCAGGGTGTAAGGAACCTGGTGTTTATTATTGTCGATGTTTTTTGCTTTGAAATTTTGAAAATGCTACCGAAAACCGTGGGACATTTTCTAATTCCCTTTTCTCTACGTTGAATACGACCAAAACCGTTTTATTACGCGACTTCCAATAATATTCATTTTCAGCCCTCACTCTACAAGTAGCAGACAGTGGATCCGCCAAACGCCAGGCCCTCGGTCATGCCGGCGATAACCAACCTCTAGAAGACATTGAGAACAATTATCCGGACGATAGGTTTCATTCAAAGCCCTAAAAATATTGCGATTTTAGAGACAACCAAAATGCGCCGGTGCTTGATGACAGCCCACCTGACGAAAGAGGCCAGAAACGCGTCGAAAAGCTGGATCCACGGTTACAGTGAGACGGCTTATGGAAGTAAATCTATTTTCTAGGGAGCTCCAAGACCAAAATGAAGGCATCCCGGCAAGAATCGAGGCGTTGGAGGCCCAGCTTGCCCAATTAAATGCACTGCTTATCGCTCAGAGGGCCAGCGGGTTAGCATTTGCAATTTGAGCGTCTAAAGTTGTTGACAGGAACGCGTCCAAAACATTCCCGCCAGTGCGCTTTCGAGATGAGAGGTCGCGACGAAGGATCCTGATAACGGGCGGCTGTGGATTTGTCGGTTCACACCTCGTCGACAAATTGATGGCTGATGGTCATGAGGTAAGCACTTTTTGTTCTCAGAAATTGATGTTGGGTTCTGGAGCTTTTCCAAATTTTAAAACGGTGGTTTAGCAATATCGAAAGCGTGAAAAAAATTTTTACTTTGTATCCAATTTTTTCGCGGTCAAAGTATTATGTTTCCATGCTCTTTTTTCCTATTATTACTGCGAAAGTAGAGATTTTTTGAGGGAAATGAGCATTCATTACCCCTTTACTACGTATTCCATAGGAAAATTAGATTCCCCGCTCAGATATTGCGAAAGCACCTAACATCATATCCTTTAGGTGATTGCACTCGACAACTATTTCACCGGACGCAAGCGCAATATTGAGCACTGGATCGGACATCCAAACTTCGAGCTGGTACATCATGACGTGGTCAACCCGTATTTTGTTGAAGGTGGGCCTAGATTTCAAAAGGAAACCGTGATTTAGTTGACCAAATCTATCATCTCGCCTCGCCGGCTTCTCCGCCACACTACATGTACAATCCTGTGAAGACGATCAAAACGAACACCATCGGCACAATTAATATGCTCGGGCTGGCGAAGTCAGTTTTTCCTTGATCCAACTCATGTTTTTGCAGGCGCGTGAAAGCCAGGATGCTTCTCGCGTCAACGTCCGAAGTTTATGGTGATCCCGAGGTTAGGACATACTTGTGTTTTTATTTTCATTTTTAGGTGCACCCCCAGCCGGAAGAGTACTGGGGCCACGTCAACACGATTGGTCCCCGTTCCTGTTACGACGAGGGCAAACGTGTTGCCGAGAGCCTGATGGTTGCGTATAACAAACAGGTAAAAAATATATCCTTTTGAAAATCTGGTTTTAGGAGAATGTCTCCATCCGAATTGCCCGCATCTTCAACACGTTTGGCCCACGAATGCACATGGATGATGGCAGAGTCGTCAGCAACTTTATCATCCAATCTTTGCAGAAACAGCCGATAACTGTATGCGTTTATTTGTCTTTGTTGCTCTTTTTGTTAACATTTATCTTACAACTTTTTGCGTTACAGATCTACGGCGACGGCAGCCAGACGCGCTCTTTCCAATACGTCTCCGATCTCGTCGAGGGGCTCATAGCTTTAATGAACAGCAACACGGCAATACCGGTGAATATCGGCAATCCCGAGGAGCATTCGATCCAGCGATTCGCCGAAATCATTCGAGATCTCGTTGGTGAGTGGGTCTTTTCGGAAATATGGTTCCGCGTTTAGCCAGCGACAGTATGATCGTCAATATGCCGGCTCAACCCGATGATCCGCATCAACGGCGCCCCGACATCGATCGTGCACTCAAATTGCTCGGCTGGAAACCAAAGGTTTGGGCGTTGAATTCCAGCTGAAAAAGTGGACCTATCATAGATTTGATCAAAACAATCAGATTGTTAGCACTTCGAAAAAAAGTGCCTTTACAAAAGTAAAGTTCTTGCGCATTATCGGGGGGCGATTTTTTTGTAAAAAGTCTAGAAATGCCTACTAACTTAATCAAAAGTATTTTATTAGTGTGTTTAGTAAAATGCAGCAATATTTCATTTAGAAAAGCTATTCAAAAACTTCTAAAAAATTTTAGAGTCGAAATTTTTGCCAAAAACCATCCATTTTGGTCGGAAATCCATGGCCCCCAAAATTGCCCCTCCGATAATGCGAAAGAACCAAGAGTGATTTTATGCAAACTCATTTTCGAAAATGTCATCGCCCGCCAACATTCCCTTTTAGGTCTCAATGCATGACGGGCTGAAGAAGACGATCGACTATTTCCGTAACGAACTCTCAAACGAAGGACGACTTGAACGCATCGCTCAAGCAGATCAACCCCCGCCAGGCGCTGCCTGATTTTCTGTACCTATCCCAGCCACATGACCTGATATCGTCTTGCTACTGTTTTTTTAGGACGCTCATCTTTTTTAATGGTTTTTTTTTATTTTCCACCCTTGAAAGCTTTCGCAACCCACGGATTTCCCCTCACCAACCCTAGTCTACCATTGAGATTCTTTCTTTGCTCCCGGGCCCCCTTGCATAATGATGACCACATTGAGCTGTGATATCCCTGATCTTGCCTTTTCATACATTTCGAGTGCAACAACGTGTGCTTTTTAATAAAATGAATTTATACTTCGAGTTTGCGAAAAAAGCGTCCTTGCAACACTGATATACTGTACGCGGAAAACGGCTAAAGCATGCTAGTAAACTTTTTCCAAGCGATTTACGTCTTACGGTCATGATTTGCAACACGAAAATCCTTCTTTTAGGCATGTCGGGTCGGGCGATAACCCGACACCATTCTGCTGCTCCGATGGTGCCCGTAAAAATGGAGACTGACGGATATGACTCTTTTGAAGATGATGACCTCCAACCGGGCCCTTCAATATACATGCGTAAGTTTTTTATTGGTTTTCTCGATCATGGTAAAACCTTGTTTAGAAACTCAAGTCTTGTGCACCCAAGCAGCAAAACCGGAGACCCCGAGGCGACGAGCCCAGCCTACACCAAACCCGAAAACCGACACGAATGTCCTGTTATTGACGAATCGACTGGAGACTGAGAAGCGCGACAGGCAAAAGGTACCCGATTTTTGGGCTTTTTACACTACTGTTTAGGTGGAAAAGAATTGCGGGATTCTGGCGGACAAGCTGCGAGCGAAAGAAAAGGAAAAGGAAGAGGCGCTGGCGGAACAACGTAGATTCTACGAGACGAAAATGCAGAACTTGAACAACACTATCAATGTATGTTTTATCATTTCTATTGGTTCAGCTTTTTCAGGAACTGCGCTTCAACGAAACGAGGGTCGACGTGACAATGTCTTCGCAATCCTTCTGCATTGAAACGGTGAAGATTCCAGCAAGGGTTTATTTTTGGTTTAGAATGATAGATCAAGGATGAACACAACGACTTTTGTGGGCACGCCTCCCGTCAACACGAGAAAGGTGGGCGGACATTATTGGAGCATCTTTTGTTTCTTTAGGTCGTGGCAATGGCAAGACCGACGACATACCAAGCCTTTCAAAACACGGGCCCGTCCTCCGCTGTCAACACGGTTAAGGCTTGTGGGAATAGAACGGTAGGCTTGACTAAGACTTCCTAATAATTATTCTCTAGATATCGAATACCTCACCAAACGACGGGACACCTCGGAAACTGATGAAAACGGCGACGGGCCCGATGCGAAGCCAAGTAGCCCTGGATACGACAGGTTTTTGGCGTTTTACATGTTGTTACCGGCTTTAGCACCTTCATGCTCACAGCCGTTTTTTGATGAGTTGCCCCACAAGGCTCCACGGGGATCGCCACCCACGCGGCCAACCGTCACGAAAGAAGTCCAGACCACGCAGCCAGAGGTAATTTAAATCTAGATTAAAAGGGGGTCAAAATATGAAAAACCCGAACTTTTTCTATGGTTAGATCTGATTGATAATGTAATCCCAAGTATTTTTAGAGTGGTTTTTATAAAAGCTATTTCAAGTGGTAAATGTTTCTAGAATACGTCGAATGCGGCGCAAATGGGTATTTTTTGTCGAAAAATCTAGTCTATTTAGTATTTTACGTCTAGCTGAGTAAAAGGCTGGAAATACTAAAGAACCAAAAATAGCATATTTTCGATTACCCGATGATTTTAGGCTTTCACGGGTCAAAGCTTATTTGTCTCTTTCCAGGCGTACAAGGAGTTTATGGCCAGGCCCCTCGTTGACGCGATGGTGGCAATCTGCCGACTGGAGGATGACGATCCCGCAAGATTGAAAATGATGACCCGCACCAAGGGGCGAACATTTGGAGAAGTAAGGCTATTGAATTTTTGATTGTTAAAGTGTTTTTTTTCCCCAGATTCATCGAGCAAGCGGCAATCGGTCGATGGCCAGCAGCGGGAACTGACGGTTTTTCAGCATTTAATTTTCTACCCTACAGTTTTTATGTTGCTTTTGTCGATCCGGTGCAGTAATAAATGGATATTGTGAATAGAATTTTTGAACATTGAAGCCTGACAGCCAAACCCTTAGCCGTTTTATTGTCCTAGGCTTCCAACCGATCCAACATGAGGTCGCAGCGAGCTTAAGTTAGGCTGAAGCTATCAGCTGTTGATTGTCGATTGGGAAACCGTGGCGAATTGGTCGGGAATGACCGCGCAGACGTAAGGAGCACCGATTTTACCATGTACATAGATATGAAACATTTGCGCTTCGGAGAAGAAGGTGCTCAACGTAACCGTTTAAAATTACGATGCTTCCCTTCCAGAGAAAAGAAATCACAATGCGGGCGACGTCTTGTTAGAGTTGGCTTTATTTTCATAAAAACTATGGTGTAGCAGTAATTTAGAACACCTTTGACTAGAGGCAGCAATAAATTAGGTACCCAGTCACCGTCAGTGCTAAATACGGGCTGTACGTTCGAAGCTGCCGCCATAGACAGTTGGTAAATAATTGACAGGTCCCGTTAAGCTGCTCCTGCTCCTGGGGACTCAGCTTGCGGTAGAAGCACCCTGGATAACAGAAAATTCTGTATCATTTCAACTATTAAGTGTCTACATGAAGCTAGTAGGAGCCACGCCGAGAGATGGAGGAGCAACGCCGAAAGACGGTGAAGGCAGGGTGTTGAACACTGGAAAGCGAGCGTGAGGGGATGCGGTTGCCATCTCGCAAAGATAATTTGGGAATGAAAAGGAGATACCGTCTCGCTCCTGAAATGGTCGCGCCATTCTACGATAATGAAGGACGACACGACGCCTAGCCAGGTGAAGCACACCGTGAAGTCCAAATTCTCCATTAGATCACATGTCGGGCGTTTCTGGAATCGAGAATGAGAAAACTGAGAAAGAGAGAGAGAGAGAGAGAGAGAGAGAGAGAGAGAGAGAGAGAGAGAGAGTAAGAGAAGCAACAGCCAATTCACCATTCCACATCCACCATTCAACACTTTTACCTACCCGCGGTACCAAAAAATGAGCGGATTGTGCCATTTTCCTCTTCATATCTTCGAGGTCACGACTCTGTGCTTCGAATCGATTCTGTAATGAAATGGCAAGGATTAGGAGTGACTTCAACCACGATAAATCCTGCTCTGTACGAAAATCTATGCTCAAATACCTGAGTATCTCGCATCTTTTCTCTCGTTTCCGCCAGGAGTTCTCTTAGGGAACGATTCCTTTGATTAGGCTGACAATCAGGCGAATGCCTCTCATCATCGCTGCTGTCAAAAAAAGGTGTCTGGGGATCGTCAGTAGGTTGACGGGGGCATCCTAAATACGTAATACTGTTTACATTTAATCTCCTACCGTTTTGTGTCGCCTCGTCACTTCGTTGGGTGACCATTCTCTATATATTGAACTAGTAGCGAGATCGAGAGAGAGAGAGAGAGAGAGAGAGAGAGAGAGAGCGAGAAAGAGACGCTTACACACACGAATTATATATTTCAATATACCGAATGTTAATCCATCAAGGGCTGAACGAGCAATATACTTTTCTGTACAGTTTATTTCCAATAAAATCACGATCAACGCGCGCGTTAATGAACTGCATATGTATCGAGAGAAAGAATAGGAAAAAGCAAACACCACACATAATCTTGAGCCAATTGGTACGAGCCTGTTCAACGATTTGACTGCACATCATCTCCCAGCAGCGCCCAATACTGTCTTTTTCCTCTGCGGTAAAGCTCATGTTTATCCAGACCACTGCAATCCACTATCGTCAATTATGATTATGGTGATCATGTTTTGATTTTAGGTAATTGTGTTTTTCTGCTCTCGATAGAGGCTACGGTTTACTTTACCCCCCACCCCCGGCCCGAGGGTCCTAAAGTTTTCGATATTTTTCCATTTTTTCAGGTTTTTTTGAACGTTATTCCGTAGAACATCGAAAAATATACTAATAAGAGTTTTTATGGCAGCTGAAAATATCGTAATATAAATTAGTTATAGAAAACCAAAAATAAACTCTAAAAAACGGGTTAAAAGGCTAGTTTTCGATACTTTCGCTAGTTTGTCGACATTTTCGATACCCCAATCGATAGAGCATCGAAAAAATATACTATGACTTTGAATGGCTAAACTCCAGATAACCCCCCCCCCCCAGCCGACCCCCACCTACCGTATCTCGGCTCCCTGTTCATCTACAGGTGTGTAAAGTATACCAAAATACTCGCCACAGCAAGACGAACATTTTGGCATACTTTACACACCTGTAGATGAACAGGAGCCGAGATACAAAATGGGTGCCGGCTGGGGGGGGTTATCTGGAGTCTTACCGTTTGAATTCCAACGAAAAATCATGCATTATAAAATAGTTACAGCAACACAAGATTTAAGCGCGGTCTAGGAACTAAGAACAAACGGTGGAAAGTTTATCCTGTGTACCATTAATTCTAAAACTAAGTACGTAGATTTTGCCCATGTTTATTTTTCCATTCCCGCGATACCGTACATATCAGAACACCGCCAAAGCCATACAGTAGGATCGTCCAATACCAGAGAAGGCCTGCGCAAGAGTCGAACTGCAAAAAGGACAGTATTGTCAATTAGCCTTTTCGCAACGTTTTGTTTAGCGAATATTCTCTGCCGAACAAGTCATAATTTCAAAAACACTTTGAAAAAAGACGAGTGGTTTTTTTGATACGATTTGGGTCGGTGAAAAACCCTATTCGTTACAAACGTATTGATTATTGTTTTTCTGAAAAGTTAAAACCAAGCACGAACGTTGTGCTACGGGATTTTCGGCAGTGTAGTTCTCGGGTGGAGAATTTCGACAACTTAATTTGCCCGGATTCAGATTTCTGGATTCTTTCGCAAACAAATTCTTGGGGTGAGGGAGTGTCGGGGCCAAATTTTCCGGAAATGTCATCGAAAACCGCAAAAATCACTTACAGGTTCTTTTTGATAGTTGCAGATTATTCGGTCGTGACACGGCGCCGGATACTGAAATAACGTCGTAATCGGTTGTGATTCAATGCTGTCGCGTTAAAAAGCGTAAAATTGCGAGCTTGTAAGCTTTAAACCCCTTTTAGACCAGGCCAGTTACATAGACGGAGAGTTCCTTCCGATAAAATTGGGAATTTGCTTACATGTTGACACTGGATGATGCTTGAAAATACTTTGAAAAATAGGGCGAAAACGGAGCTGATCACGATGAATCGTCTTGACCAATAGAACATTGGCTGGATGGTATGGGAGCAGCGATAATAATGAGGTAATGAGGATGCCATGAGGTCAATTGGTTCCTATCTGCCGTCCATCTGCGTCCCCCTAACACAAAATTCGCGCACTTTTTCTTATGTAGATTCCGCATATCACACAACCTTGAAAACCTCACACAAAAAAGTTAGTTTTTGACCGTGTTTTGGGGTTAAAAATAAATCACGATTTTCACTCTAAAAATCGAATTTGCGGGCTTTCCGTGTTTCGAATCCGGAAGCAGCATGCAATTTTACATCTAGTATGTTGTCAATTAAATATTTTCCAGCCAGGGATTTTCAGGAAATCGGCCTAGAAGGTCGAAAAATGGGGGGTGATTACTTTTGTCCGTTACTGTACCTTCCCCCTTGATATAACTGCGCCCCACATTTTCCAGCCAACCCCTCCTCAACATCTTGAAGCCGTCGCCCTCTCGTCGACCTAATTTGGGCCCCAAGGATATTCGGCTGTTGATTGAGCCTCCCACTCTCGACCGGGGGCCACCGATCCCTGCGGAAGTCAGTTGCCTGGCTGAATCGGCACGCAAACGAGCCCCCGCTTGGGAACCGGAGAAGGGGGGAGAAGCCACAGCTACGTCCGGCAATACAAACCGCCCAAATGAGCCGACCCGTCGCATCCGGGCCGCCGGAAGCCGGCAGGGGTCTCTGAGGTGCCGTCGCACGCGATCTTCCTGGCTTCACTACCGTACCCCCGCCTGGAGGACCCGTAAAAAGAAGGGTGGTGGCTGATTAGGGAGTCGTTTCAGGGGACCAGTTGTGGGGTGGGGAGGATTTAGTGGAGTTAGAAGCTTGTGACAGATACGGGTATTCTTCCAGGATCGCGGAATTGCGGCTAGAAGCTTCACGGGGTTGTACATAAAATTACGAGAGGCTCCGCTTATCTTACCTAGCTCTAAGATGAAGCCCGCTTCACTTATCCTGCCCTGAAAATGGCGAAAGTATAAACTAGGCATTTTGCTTAAAAACCGGAGTTTTTTTGCGCAAGTCTAGAAATATCTTCTAGTAAAATACTAGAAAGCATTTTATTAATTTTTTTGGTAAATTAGACTAAATATAGACAAACGCTCCAAAAACGATGGAAACACGTTCTAAAAAATCGAAATTTGGCAAACAAATCGGCTATTTTTCGTGGAAAAATCGAAATTTCTTGCATTTTTTTAATAAAATTTTGTAAAATTTGTACGTTGAGGAATCGTAAGGACAGTTTAAAAGCCCTTCCGGTATTAATTGGAAAATTGGATCCTAGGAAAAGCACAAAATTTCGAAGCCGGAATTTTTTGTAAAATGACCCGAATTTTAGGCTACCGTTTCGGCTAGTTCCTTTTTCAAAGAAGCGGGCCAACCCCGAGCAGGGCATCATTTAGCAACCGGCAGGTCCCCAGAGCACCTTCGGCCCGAGCACCGAGCACCTTTGGCCCGGTGGGGGATGGGATGCGCAGGGCCCCGGATAAAAGGGGACCGCCATGCCGGGTCCCTAGAGGGCCCTTCCCTGCCCGTTCATAAACCCGAATTGCCAACGGGGAAGCTCGTGATTAGACAAGCAGGGGGGAGAAGCTCCGGCCGGGGAGCCGCTTCCGGTAAGATTTATGGGCCGCATGGCGTTTCGTTTTGTGTTGTTGCCGGGCACCAGTTGGCCGTGGCGTGTATATCTCTTGAAGGGTGGGGGGGGGGAGGGGGATATGATACACTCGGGACCACCTTCTCTGACCCATTCAAAATGGGTTCGCCGGATGTGAAGGTTGACGGGTTGGGGTGGGGGGGGATGTGGCTGGATGGCTCTCCCCCGGGATACCGTAGTGAAGCCGGGGTCTTTACGGATGCCGAAAGCAGAACTTGGCCGTGAAATGAAGGAATGAACGCGACTAACGCTTGGTTTTAAGGACCTAAGCAGGCCCCAAAAACAGCTTCGCGGCTTTAACCCTGGCTCCGATTGCTCATATCTATGGATTTCCTGCACTTTTTGCATGCTGGTCACCTTTTCCGAAGAACGAAAGTAGGATTTTAAAAAGAACATAAATTTTAGATCGAAAACAGCTGATTTCACTAATTTTTCATTTTTGTTTTTAAATGCTTTAGGATTTTCAGTTTATTTTGCGTTGTGAAATGGCTCATTTTATCGAGCTTGAGATTTGGACCAGATATCGTCGTTCAAAAATTGCTGAACGCAAGCGGCCCTTGAGAAATTTTGGATGCGTCGAGCTTTAGGTTGTCGGGATTTCGAGTGTCGGTATTCTGGCTGTCGGGATTTTGTTTGTTGATATTTCGGATGTCTGGACCTTGGCTGTCGGAATTTTGAGGATTTGGGATCGCTGGATCCGGGCAGTCGGTATTTTGAATTTCGGTATTATGGCGTCGTGATTATGGATTTATATTGTCGATATTTTGACTGTCGTTATTTTTAGTATCGGGATTACCTCTATCGGCAATATGTCGGTATTTTGAATGTCAGAATAACCGAAATTGCGCTACATTCCTTTCCTTTTCATTCCGTTCCTAAAGATATTTTGCCAACCCCCGATTTTCTTTCTATTAAAGCTGCCTGGTGGGTGATGTTGGGGGTGGGCGGTGGTTGTTGGGTTAGCCGGGGTTGGGGTGGGGAAGAAGCTGTCGCTTCGTTACATGTCCCCAGGGGGAAGGTGCGAATGAATTGGGAGCTGCTGGGGTCAGCAACCACACCGCCCCCCCCCCCCCTCCGGCTAGGTGAAGCCTCCCGGGGGAAATTCCGGCGCGCGCTTCTCACTTCTACGGCTTCAACTCGATTACCCGGGGCTAGGGGAAGGCCCAGGGCCGCTCAATCTGGGCCATAAGCCGATTGGTGAGGGCTCCTTGGGGGGCCCTGTAACGAGCGATTTTCGATGGGATTCGAGGGGTATTACGTTCGTTTCCGGTGATGGAATCAGTAGGGCTGGTTGGGTGAAGCGAATTACAGTGATACGCCCAACAGCTAAAGGCTCGATAGCCAAAATACCCACAGCCAAAAATCCCGACAGCCAAAAACAGCACAGCTAAAATCCCGACAAGCCAAAAAGCCCGACAAGCCAAAATACCGCCAAGCTGAAATCTCGTGATATTTCGGTGGAACTTTTCGCTTTTGGCTCCAATTTTCCAATTTTCGAACATAAATAGGGGGAATGGTACTCAAATGTTCTTTTTTGCGATTCCGTAGCCCAAAAACTGTCCCAATTGCTATGAAAAATACAAAAATGCCGAATTTCGATCACAAATGACGATTTTTATGCAAAAAATTTCGGATTTTTCGTGATTTTTAAGACTTTTAAAGTAGATACCCACTTGAAATATCGTTAAATTTTTCTAAAAAACTAGAAAACAACGTTCTATTGCGCTACTAAGAATTTCTCGACATATACGAAAAATTACCCCCCCCCCCCCGATAATGCAAAAGCATCAATTTCAATAATATTAAGGTATTCCCATACCTTTCCTTCATTATTTACCCCATCCCCGGGCGTAATTTGTATACCATCGGAGATCTGTGGGGGGCATCTGTCCGCTCCATCCGCTTCACGAGTATTTGTTTACAATTTGTCGCGTAGCGATAAGCCGTTATGTGGGGGGGCAGCTCAAGACGTAATAGTATCCAGGGACATCCCCTCCCCCGTCTGGTCCCAGGATGAGTACAGGTCAAGAGGAGCACATCTGGTCCTCTATCTTCCCTCTTTCTCCAGAGCTCTAAGCCTCCCCTCACCTTAATTGGGCGATGCCCTCCACCCATCCGGTGTGTCCGTCCCCCCTGGGGACATACTATAAAAAAAGTGAAGAGTCGGTGGCAGAAGAGAGAGAGAAAGAGAGGTAGAGAGAGCGAGAGAGTGAGAGACCCTTGGGGCCCTTGATGAGTTATGGGGTCCCTGTGGGGGCGAGTGGGCCCACTTTTGTACTTGACAAGTGGTCGTTGCGGGAGTACGGTAGCGGGCTGACCTGGAAATTCCCAAAAATTCTCTGCTAGCTTGCCCTGTAGAGAAAAAAACACTCAAATTTAAGTCACACGTTATGGATTAGCCGTTTTTTCGGTATTACCGTAGCGAAGGGCTACGGTACCAAGCTGACCCTAAAAACTTCCTAAAAAATCACTGCTAGCTTGCCCTTGATCGATTTAATAGTAAAAATGAACTCATACGTTAGGGAAATAGCGGGTTGCCGATGGATTACTGTAGAGATAGGTCACGGTAGCCAGCGAACGTAGAAAATTCCTAAAAAATCACTGCTAGCTTGCCCTCGGCTCAAGGGCGCAATTTTGCAGCTGGAGTTGTAGAAAGAACTTTTTGCAAAATTTGAATGGAGGCCTGGTTACGGTAAGTTCCGGCTACTGTAGCAGAGCAGGCGTTTGTAAATTCATAAATTTCTTAAAAGGCCACTATTAGTTCGCCCTTGCTCATTTTGGCAGTAAAAATTAGCAGACATGGCAAGTGGCCGCGGCCCGGCCCGGCCGGCCCGGCCGTAGCTACCCATGGCCGGCCGCGGCCGGCCGCATATGAAATTAGCATAAATCCCGGCCACCGCGGCCGTCTCCAAAAACGAGTCTGGCCGGCCGCGGCCGGCCGCCGCTGCACCATGGCGAAAATAATGACCTATTTTTAGGATTTCGAGTTGAATTTTACTGATTTGCATGATTTCTGAAAAGGAAAAAGGAAACGAGCAGTTCATTGCAAAAGCCGCGGCCGGCCGCGGCCGGCTGCGGCCCCAGGACGTTTTTGCGGCCCGGCCCGGCTGCGGCTGTGGGTAATTTTTGCGGCTTTGCGGCCGGCCCCGGCCGTGAAAAAAATTTGCATGCGGCTTCCGGCCGGCCGCGGCGGCCGTTTTGCCATGTCTGAAAATTAGGTCATACGGTAGGAAAATAACTGATTTCTTGATGGGTTACAGTAGCATAGGGCTACGGTAGTCCGGCGAGCGTGGTGTTTCCGATGTTTTACGGTAGCCCAGGATTTACTATAGCCCTGGGATGGCCCAGAGTTCCTAAATATTGCCCTAATCCGTTGGGGGGGGGGGTATCGCTTACCGGGTTCACGGATTAACCTTATTTAATGACCCCCGGTGGTTTTGGCTTCAGGTGTCAGGTGGAGCATCCCGGAAATGTGTGCTCCCATATGGCACCTTGGTGGTGGTGTCAGGATGGTAATGTGAGAGGGTGGGCGAGAGAGAGAGAGCGAGAGAGAGAGAGAGACCGAGAAGAAGCTGAACCACCAGCACAGTTTCCTAAAAAGTGACAAAGTACCGGAGCGGGGGGTGGTTGGGGCTGACGACCTGCCGTCGATGAATTATAGCTGGAAAGTGGGCACTGGAGACCGGGGAGGGCAGAATTTATGGGTTGCGAAGAGTGGTACGGTACCCGTTAAGACTATGCTTAAGTTGAATCTAAGCCAGATATAAGTTAAGGGCTAAGACTAAGCTAAGCTAACCTCAGTTGTAAGCTCATCCTAAGCTTAACCAAAGCCACAATCGAAGCCAAGTCGAAGCCTAATGGATGCGAAAATCTATAAGCTCTATAAGCCTAAGCCTAAGCCTAAACATAAGCCTAACCCTAACGCAAAGCCAAACCTAAGCCTAAGCCAGGCCCATTTTCCTAACCATTATCATCCAGCGGTGGCAGGCTAGCATAGTCCATTTGCGCAAAGTCCCAAGCACCGACTTCCCGACCCTTTTAATTCCCGTTAATTACCTATTTTTGAAGGTGGATCCCCCCCCGCCCCGCAATTTGCAATGTTGCGTGCCGTACATAATCCACACGTGTAGCCCCCTTGTCTTATTCCCCCGTCCATCTATTAGAACATAAATATTCAAATGTGCCGAGCCGCTCTCCTCGAGTCTTCCCATTTCCTTGAGACATCCCCAGCTGCCCCCCCCCCCCCTGCGGCTCAATTCATAATTCAAGTGGTCCCTCCTATAGTTCGTTCGAATATTGAAGGCTTATCAAATTTGGGCTGAAATTTCGAGACGACGCATCGTTAATTTCACACGAATCTAATGGAAAATAGCTTAAAGGCTATTCTTACGTTACCCCCCCCCCCCACCCCCTGGGTCCCAGAATTTTTTGGCACTTCCGTTATCTTGTCGGTATTTTCGTGCCGCCATTCGATAGAGCATCAAGAAATATACTAAAAATGGTAATTGCAGCTCAAACCAATGTAAGATAAAAAAGTTATAGCTCAAAATATTTGGGAACAAAAAAAGTTTACAATAAAATTCGAAGATCGTTTTCGAAGATCGATAAAAATTATTTTAGATTGACTGACGAGAATCCATTTAAAATTTCAAACCATCTCTAGAGGAGAAAACATCGATTTTCCGCAACTTTGCGAAAGTTAACGCGGAACCCCAGCGGAAAATGAAAACTGCACAACTGCAAACTGAAAACTAGCGCAAATTAAATTAAATTATAACATTGAAATGAAATATTTGGCATAAAAACATTATTTTTCAAGCCAATCGGAAGCCAGAAATAATAACGCTGGGAGATCCGAAAATCTTAAAAAGGGGTTTTTGCAGAGTTTTGCGCTTTTTTTGCGGTTACCAGGCCCCGGACTAGCGACGGAATTATCGCGTAGCTATGGCTTCCCGAAATTCCGGACCAGATAGGCCCCAAATTTTGGCTCTAAAATTCCGAAATCGACATGTTTTGGCTTTTTCTGTCTTTCGGATTTTATGGGAACGTCTTGGCAGATGATAAAATTGTTTGCTATCACAACAAATCACTGCCGCCTTATCAGGTGGATTATCGGGGCTACTGTTTCGAATTCCGTCCGGGTCCTTGCTTTTGATTTTTGATTTTAAAGGACTGGAAAGCGGTAGAACCGACCCTGTCGTCGACCAGATTATTACGGGAAAAACACTGCGGAAAGCGCCGATAGTCGTCATAGCAGCATCAGCCTAGCTTTTTACAGCTCCCCTTGACCGTCTAGGCCTAGTTGATAGAAAATGTAGATTATAGCACCCCCCAACACCTTTAAAACTTTCAGCCCAACGTCTACCTGTGCGGCTCGACGTCATCTTGCTGCCACTTCCGGGGCGAGCCCGCCTGTTGCCTCAATGATGTGGCTTTTTGGCCATTGTAAGCAGGACATTTTCGGAAATTTACATACTTTTAATCGATTTTGTTGCTTGCGAGTGTCCGGGCTAGCTGACAGAGAAAAATAGGGAATTTTTGAAAAACGCAAGCAAAATAGATAGGAAAACCGTTTAAAAAGTTAAAAATGGCATTTTTGGGCCGGCGGGCAGCTTGGTGTACTGATAAAGCTCTCGCCTACCAGGCAAACGACCCCGGTTCGACTTCCGACGGTGTCGATTTTTTCCGCTTTTTGTCGAATAGTGTTTTTATATAATTTCTGGTCCCCGGATTCCATTCGACACCCCGGAACACCACAGTTTAAGGCTGGGCCCTCGGCAGCCTAGCAGAGATACTTTGGGAAAATCGCTCCCTCGCGCACTTCGGTGTATTGGTAAACTTCTCGCCTACCAGACAAACTACCCGGGTTCGACTCCCGCCGGTGCCATTTTTTACTTTTTGGCTTTTTTATATATATTCTGGTCCCCGGATTCCATTTGACACCCCCGAACACCACCATTTGAGGCCCTCCCCAGAATATTGGGCAATTTGTGGCGAATAGTGTTCGCCGTGGTGCATGCCTCCTCCCTGTTTGCCCGTGTAATTAATTGGGGCCTATTGGAGGGGGGGGATGGAGATCATGTTTCCCGGGGTGGGCCATCCGATTAACATCGATTACGCCTTATCCCAGGCGTGTGCCCCCACCAGGGCATATGGCTCGGATCGCACAAGCTGTAAGCGGGTGGGGAGGTCATCTCCGGTCAAGATAGGGCGTTATTGGGGTAGGGTAGGATCGGTGAATTATGGAAAATCCCATCGGCTCGCGTACCTAGCTTGGCTTAGGCTTACCTTAAGCTTAGCTTAGCCCTAGCTTAGGCTTAGCTTAGGATTAGCTTCGGTTTAGCTTAGGCTTAGCTTAGGCTTAGCATAAACTTAGCTTAGACTTAGCTTAGCTAGGGCTACGAACAGCAACCTAAGCTAACTATAAGAATACGGTAACTGTGACCCCGATCTCCCACGATCTCTCCTAGTCTCCCCATTCCAGCCTCCAACAAGTCATCCCCTTCCTCGTCTTCTACCTGCTGACCCTGCTGGCCGCCAAGTCTGTGCAGGTACTCCGGTTACGGTAGTTAGGTCACCATTCAGCAGTGGTACTTCAGCGACCAGGACCCAGATCTCGAGGATCAGCTCTTCGACTTTAGCGGCCAGAAGGAGCAGGCGAATACGTGAGTTTTTAAGCGTAGGCGATCCATAGCCCGTTGCTTCCCCACCCCTTTAAACTTTCGATCTATTTTCAGCTTCATCTTCCCCCAGTTCGGCGAAGATCACGTGGCGGACCCGATTTTCGGGGCGGTCTACGAAGAGAAAACACCAAAGTGGGATTTGGTGTATATCGTAGTATTGGTTTTTAGGTACGCGATGGCCGCCCAGGACAAGATTGACTTTGGCTATTTTGATGATGATGGAGACATGCAGGTGGATGACGTCAAGAAGCGGAAATAGGAGTGGAACTTTAGGTGTTGTTGGGGTGGAATAAATGGGTTTGATCTGACATTTCATTGGGACTTGCAATGGGCAGCTAGCGAAGGGCAGGCTAGCAGGGGTGATTGGGGAAGCATAAGCTATGGTATATTTTTTCATACATTTTAAAAATGTGGAAAAAGTTTTAGAAAATTTCGATAGTTTTGAACATTTTCATAGATTGTTGGCCAAAAAACGCTAATTTACAGTATGAATTCACGACATTTTAAAGTTCGACATTATGAATTTACAAGATTTTGAAATTTTGACATTATGATCATTATGACAGTAACTCATAATTTATTGATATAGTAAATTTACTATAGTGTTTTTAGTCGTTTCTAATCGCTAGAAAGTAATATAATATGAAATTTTTACATATGAATTTACGACAGGTTTTGGACGTTGTTAATTTCCGGTATTATGAAATTTGTGACATTATTTTATGATAATAAAACGGTAATTTATTTGTATAGTAAACTCACTGTAGTGTTTTTAGCCGTTTCTGATCGCAAGAAAGTTATCAAAAACATCATAAAAATTCTAGGATTTCGAAAATTTTGAGCTTTTTTGGACATTTTTATGTACTTCCCCCCGCTAGCAGTACAGTACCGATATTTCCGCATAACTTAATAGGTCCCTTGGCGGGACATATTCCCGATATCTTATTCCCTAATATCCTCGCTAAGGACAGTAGCCATCTTATCCCTTCGGGGAGGGAGGGCTGGGCCCTTTGAAGGTCGACCGTAATCGGGTTATCCCAGGGGGGCCCAGGTGGCCCGACAACGGCTGCCCCTCCCTGGCTGGTCCCATCCCGCGTCTCTGATTATGGGCTTTTCAAGGGGGGGGGGAGTACGGGAGACAACAAACACAGTGCACCCCTTTCTGAGCCAGGGGGGATAAGGCTCTCATAAAAGCCACACCGCCTAGGCCACTCCATATGCATGAGGGGGGTTTGAGGTGTCAATCCCTAGGGCCTATCCCTTCTTCTTCTGTCATATAATCCCGACGAGAGCCCCCCCTTTGACCAGACACCCAGCTGAGACCTTCTTCTTTGACCCGCGAACCGCTACCGCACCTTATCGGTATCGGCAAGTCATTGGAAAACATCAACTGGATCCGGTAGTTCGATTCGTTAGCCCAATTTCGAAACTCATAATGTCGAAATCTCAGATGGTTGAATTTTCAGAATGTCGACATTTCATAATGCCGAAATTCAGAAAGTCGACATTTCATAATGCCGAAATTCAGAATGTCGACATTTCATAATGCCGAAATTCAGAATGTCGACATTTCATAATGCCGAAATTCAGAATATCGACATTTCATAATGCCGAAATTCAGAATGTCGACATTTTTTACATGGGATCCGGGGTTTTTCCGGGAAAATTAGCTTATTTAAATGTCGACATTATGTATTTCGACGTTTTGAAAGAAACCCCGGTAGTTCAGGTCTTGCCCTAGCCTCGGACCCACGACTGCGAAAATACTGACAGGCCAGAACCACGGCACCAAAAATACCGACAACTAGGATCCCGTCATTCAAGACCCCGACAACCAGAATCCGCAAGCCAAAATACGGGCAGCTGCGTGAAAACAGTCGAAATTCCGGCTTCCATAATCCTGACAGCCAACATACCGACTCCAAAAATACCGACAACTAAAATCCCGACGCAAATTTGAATGCCAATTCCTTTTACTTTGTCTTAACATGTCGGGATTTTGGCTTCGATTTTTGCCTGTCGGGATTATGACTGTCGGGATTTTGGCGTTTTCCCATTTCAGAAAAAGACCGGCGCTCGGCAGATGCAACAAACCGCGTGGAGGAAATATACCAAAAATTCAGAGCATCCCATTTGCCCCGGAAAATATCGACAATTCCGACCATTCGCGATCTTCGTGGTGCGGACGATATAACGCCACACTGTCTACAAAAAATTCCGCAAAGATTGCTGCTAGCCCGCCTCGGCTCAAGCGATCTCATGGGCACGCATGTAGCTCTGAGAATTTCGACCATAACCGGCGTTACCGTATTTTCCGACCTGGTTTTTTTGCCTGCCCCGTGCACTTGCACTTTTTAGGTGTTTCCCGGTGGGGGTGTGGTGGGTGATGGGCGACGAATAAATTTTCATTTCCCATTAGTCGGCCCCGGTGGGTGGTAGCACGTGTTATGGGCGAGAGAGTGAGAGAGAGAGAGAGAGTGCGAGAGAGAGTGCGATGAGTGGTGGGGGGATAATGGCCATACCAGATGTTCAACCAGGGTCTTCTACTCGGTACAACATCTCCATTTCACCTCGACAAAGCTGCAAAACCTAGCCGACACATTAATGGTAGTTTTATGCGCCGGGTAGGCTAGCGGGGATTTTTTAGGAATTAGGCGATCGATATTGGCAGCCTAGCAGAGATTTATCTCAAACGCATATTTCTGAACCTGTTTGAAGCCTTTAAAAAGTCTAAAAACAATACACCACATTAACGATACCAAGCGCTCTGTGGAATGTTTTAAAGGGACCGTGACACCTCGAAATAACACCATAAATTTTCTAGGGGCCCCCAAAAAGTTCTGGGCTCAAGCCACCGATCCCCCGCCTCCTGGCCGCTCACCTATCCCAACAACATCGGGAAGCGGCGGGTGGAACGAGCCTCCGGGGGCCCATATAGGCCCCATAGAGGGCCCATCTAGGGCCCCACCACCACAACCTCCGGACACCCGCGCTGCAAGCTCCCGGCTACCCATAACCCCCATTGGCGCTTATCGCAACCCGAGCCTCGGCGGGCGGAACGAGTCTCCTGGGCAGGTTTCGGGGTTGGGCAAGTTGGCAGGGGTTCGAGCAGGATTGGGCTTAGGATTAGGCGTAGGCTTAGACTTGGCTTGGCTTAGGCTCAGCTTAGGTTTAAGTTTAGGCTTGGCTTAGGCTTGGCTTAGGCTGGGCTTAGGTTAGGTTAGGCGTGGCTTAGACTTAGGGTTGGCTTGGCTTAGGCTTAGAGGTGGTTTAGGCTTGGCTTAGACTTGACTCAGGCTTGGCTTAGGTTTGGCTTAGGCTAGATGTAGGCTTAGCGTAGCCTTGACTTAGGCTTGGCTTAGACTTAGGGTAAGCCTAACCCCGTAACCATGACCAACCGTACGCCCCTCCAGTCATCACTCCGCGAAAATACTTTCCCCGCCGCACCTCAAGAAGTCGAGGGGAGGTGTCAAGAATCGGAAGGCTTTTTCGAGACGGCAGAGATACCCGGCCCTGCCCCCTCCCAATCTATCACTGAAGGGAAAAGCTGACGGGTGGAAGGGCGAAAGTTCAACAATGTGGGGCGTGACCTGAAGGCCATGTTCCGTTGGACAACAAGTTGCGCGGGTTTTTCTGCTCATTGGATGCCGACGTGACGCAACCGCTACGTGTTCAAATGGTCGAGGAAAAGCGTCGTTCCTCTGGTTTTTATGCTTTCGTTGTATGTCACGCTCTCTCTCTCTCTCTCTCTCTCTCTCTCTCTCTCTCTCCCTCTAACGCGGCAAAATCCATAGCCAAAAAACTGATCGTCATGTCTTCCCAGTCCCTTCAAGACCCCACCGATCAGCGGCACGTTCTGAGACCCATCTGATGCTCTGATTTAGGGGCATCCCGCGGGGTTATTGGTGGCGGGTGGCCTACGGGGAAGACCTGTGAGACCCCCCTGGTGGGCCACAAAACGTTTACAGTCCACCCGCGTAGCCGACAGACAGTGATTGGGACAGGGCAGCAAACAGACAGAAAGCCCCGCTCTCGACGCCCCCCTACAATGCAACATCTGGCGGTGTGGCCATAGGCTGTTGGATTTGCATCTGAATGGCGGGTGTCGAGGTGGCACTCTCTCTCTCTCTCTCTCTCTCTCTCTCTCTCTCTATCTCGAGCCGGACCCACTTTAAAGGGAAGTAAAAAGTGAAATTTGGTGCCGCGCCTAGATGTCGTGACCTAGCAAACTCTGGGTGTCGAGACAGCCAAAAACGATGAGTTTCGCAGAGATACTGGGAACGTACCGCCAAATCAAGATGGGACACCTGGGTCCATTTTGGTGCGGGCCAATTTGTCCGGCCAGAGGTGTCGATCGAGGGGACAAAGGCACTTTACATTTGCATGGCAGGTCTAAGAAAATTCTGGCCCTCGAAAGGGCACCTGAGCGAGAGATAGAGAGAGAGAGAGAGAGAGAGAGAGAGCGAGATCGAGAGCGCGAGAGCGAGCGAGAGAGAGCGAGAGAGATAGAGAGAGAGAAAAGAGAGAGAGAGTTGAGAGAGAGCAATGAGCAATTAGATTTTTCGTTTCCACTGCTTTTACACCGTTAGCGCTGGCACATCTTCGCGCTTACGAGTTAGCAGAGACCGTCCCGTACTCGCTAGATTACTCTATGCATTGTCAGAGACAAGGTGAGGATGGCCAACGTCGTCGTATGGGGGGAGAATGGGTAATGAAATCGGGTGTTGGATGCCTGTTGGGCCTGTGGCCAATGGCTTGAGGGCAAGGCAGGGAAGGGGGGAGACCCGGTTGATTCGAGGGCCCCGAGGAATCAACGGTGAAATCCGATTTCCCGGCAGCCAATTCCCCGACACGGGGAGCTCCTGCTACGGGGCATCGCACCTAGCACCAACTATTCTCAATGTGGATAGCTGAGTAATCGGCTGTTAGGTTAGGCATGCTAGCAGGAATTATTTAGGAATCTAACGAACACGCTAATTTTTACTTCCTAGCCCCTTTAACGCCAACTCCAAACTTTTGGCTCCCCTCCCGGCTCCTCCTCCACCGATTGGCCCTTCCGGTGAGCCCCCGGGCTCTTCGTGGGGAGACACCTGTACCTGGGTCCCGACAAAGACAGAGAGAGCCGGCCCGTTGTGTTGTATGTGGTTGTCAAGAGGAATGGGGTGGAATGGGTTGTAATCCACCTTGTCCTATCAATTATCCCTCCTTCGGCCCCCCTCTGCCGGTCCCAAATGTCCACCTGTCCCCTCACCTACT